TGTTCGAAAGTACTCGTTACGCATGAGTGAAAAGTCTAATGAGGTGACCGGTCACGTGGTACATAGTGTTAATTGGAATGGGCGTGTCTAATTTATACGTAAGCAGTAGTTTAGAGGCAAAAATTTCTCATGTGTCTCCGCGATACCCTTGATCATAAATGAAAAATTCTGTTTTAACTAAACACTGTATATAAAGTTTTACAAACACTTTAGCAGACAAACCTATTTAAATAAAATAATCATAGTGGAAAATCCACATCGAAGGATTGTAAGACGACGATATCCAATTATGCATGTATGTATATCTTCGAATAAGAACAGCTGGTACTGTTATGATGTAGTGTTTTGATAAATAATATGGAATACAATTATACAGGTGTTCATCATATTCAATATAGCGGCTCTTCAGATTAGGATGTATAAAAAAAGTTGTTTTGTGACAGAGGTATCTATGACGTGTGCTCAGTTTCATACATGTGTCAACTACGTAACATCCCGTTGCCAATTCACCAGTATGAACTATATGACTTGAAGGATATTGAACGTTGAGATTTCATTACTTTTTCAATACGAATGTCTTTATCACGTAGATGCTTTGACTGGCTATGTGCGGTACGCAAATGTCACGGTCCGATAGTATTTGCATACACAGGTCCAGATATTTATGTGAACTTAAATTTTTCAGAGCACAAGAACAATTTCTTGATACTTAATTTACAGTTATAAAATTATCTCCGTGCAAGATGAAATGAACGCACTTGTAGTGTGGGTGTGTAGGTGCACAAGTGGGGAAGTTGTATTACATGTCAACCAGTTATCCCTGAATACAAACCGTTTTGTTCACATTGCAATTTTAACAGGTCTATAAAAGAGACAAACAGCTATTTAACACATGTATTTGATTACAAACACGAAAAATGAACAGCACCACAATTTATAATCTTCATTTAGTTTCACTGTCGTCTGTCTGATTATTCCTTTTCCCAAGATTTCAATTATTAGGCAAAATCTATTTGATTTGGTCTTGAAATTTAAATTCAGTCGTTATTTATAACATATAGAAATACGACAAAAATATAATATTTCCCTCAAGATTTCTGATTTTGTATTTTGGTCATCAGTTTAATTCCAATATATTTCTGATAAGAACTATCCGCGTTAGGAATGTCACAACACAATAATATACGTTATGTAACAATCAATCATGGCATTTTTATCATGTTTGCTATCACTAGATATTATACCACGGAAAAATCTAGTCAAAAGTAATACAAAAATGCACTTATTTTGGATAAAGGCTTTGAATCGAAGTACTGGCACTTTGCATTCAAACTAGGCCTATTGATCGCCCGACTAAGCTTAAGCGGACGGGTCCAGTTTTCGCGGTCGTCTGTCGGAATACCGCCGACTATATTCACTATTTTATCACTTTAGGCGGAAATGTGGCATTATATAAAATCGTGGCAAAAACCCTTTCATTAATTATTGCTACTCAGGTGTGTGATACATGCATTTATCCTGCAACTGGCACTGCCGTTGTCGGAATACACTTGCCAAATATAATTTTGCTGTATTCGGCAGTGAAGGAAAACACCTGTATTTTAGTAAGTGCGGTACTTCTACAGAATTGCTCTCTGAATTTACTTAAATTTCACGTTTAGAAATAAAAAATAGCCGTTTAAATAAGCGATTTTACATGTTGTAGTGAACAGGTTGATTAATAAAATCGTTGTTATATCCAATGAAGTACGGAACTATATTTCCGCGCACGCAGAGCAGCTATTTTGGCGTCCGTCACGTCAATGTCAAGTAAACACAGATTGAACAACAAAACTGTTTGTTTCAATAGTCTGATTTTCAATCATTGTTGTAGGAAAAGTTAGAATGCATTGTCAGTGTCTTAAAATATATGCTGTATTTTTGCTCGGGACAGAAAGACACCCTGACAAAATACAGCTTATATTTTATGACGCGGACCATGTATTCTTTATATATTATATTTTCATTTTTGAAGAAAAATCGTGGGCATAAAAAGAAATAAGGTAACACGCACCAAGTGATATACAGTTATCCGAATCCTTAGGTAAACACCTAATGCATTAATGGTCAATCAACATCTCTCATTGTTTTCAGTACGTTTTTGTCGTTATCTTGTCACACCACTTTCCATTTTGGCGTATATAAGTTAAAAATGTGGCATGCGGAGTTCTGTCGATCTTATCTCCATTCTTACACTTAATACCTCGGACAACATACCCTTCGAGCCGACAAACATTTTGTTTTATCTTGTATAACAACCCGAGGAAAATATTTTAAAATATGATGCATACTTAAAAGATAATTGGATTTTCCAATTCTGATTTTGTCAATATCAATAACTCATTATCATGCTCTATTGAATATTCCACGTGAAAATATATTAAGCAATGATGATTACAGTTGTCCCATGAATAATTGACTATAGTGTTATAATTAGGCTCCAGTACAGAGATGGATGATAGACGCAATTCTCTTCTACACTTGTGTGAATTGTCTCCTAGATGTAGGAGATGTGAAATCTGTCCTACAAGTCCATAATAAACTACATCTACTGACTCACACGAAAAATAATTTAAACTGTTTGAAAATAATGGAGAGATATTCATTTTAAACAATATCTTTATTTATTATTTCATTATTTAAAAACGAAAATGATAGAGAGACGGGGCCAAAAACTATGGCCAACACAGCAACAAACAAATGGGAGATATAAACAACAAATCAGTTGTGAAAACTGAACCAAATACCGCCCTGTTGAATAAAGCCAGTCGTGCGTAAGAACGACGGGCAGGTAAGAGGGGCTCCATGGGGCTCCATGGGGCTCCATACGGGGGGGGGATATTGGGCTCTCTTTTTCGTTTATATTATAAACAAATCAATCGGAATTAGTGGAAGATGTGCATACTAAAGTTATAGTAAGCATTACATCATAAAAATTGGTTTTACAAGAAAAAGCTCAATATATACATACCAACGAATATAATTTTCATTACACCAACATACTTTTTTTTAAAAATGAAAATGATAAAGATGTATGATACTAAGTACGTTTCCTTATAAATTCACAAGTCAAATCCTAATACGTATTAATTCGAAGCTTAATCCGTTGAACTTGAAAATAAATCCAAATAAATAAGTAAAGAATCGGACTTGTATTGTTCATCACCATTTAATATTAAAAGTGATTTGTTCCGTGTTAAGATTGTTGATAACCCATCGTGTGCTTGTGGACATTACTGTGAGGATGTTGGACACTTTTTCCTAGAATGTAAGCTTTATGATAGGGTAAGAATATCATTTTTTCAAAGTATAAACATGTTGAACTTAGATCAAGTGAATTTACATCTATTTTTATTTGGAAATGAAAATCTGTCCCTAACCACCAATACAGAAGTATTCAGACACGTGCAAATTTTTATCAAATCCAGCAACAGATTTTAAGTAAAATGTACTAAATGTTAAATATATTATGTATGCCTTGTTAATGTTATCATGTAAATATTTATCATGTATTGTATTAGAGGAAAAGGCGGTCATAAGTTGAAATAACTTGTGCCTAATCCTCTGCTCAATTTTGGGGCAATAAATATGTTTAAATCAAATCATCAAATCATTTAATATTCCCCAACAGTCATGGGAAAACTTGTGTATTTGAGTGTAGTATTTACAATTTCATTGTACATAAATACTGGTGTGGAAAAATATAACATATGAAACGTTTTTTGATTAAGGATAAAATATCTGTATTTCGGGGTCATGGTATATTTTGAAAAATATAACATATGAAACGTTTTTTGATTAAGGATAAAATATCTGTATTTCGGGGTCATGGTATATTGTTGTGTAAATCGGAAATGTCATTCATAAAATAATTCATGCAAATTAAAGTTAAATACATCAGATGCTCTTTGTAAAGTGTTATAATTAAGAGATGTGCTAACAATGGCCAGTAAAATTTACTGGTATGTCAGCAATAGTTAAACTTGCAGCAGAGCGAAAATGCAAAACACCAAGGAACTACCATGCATGAGAGCGAAGGAATTTTTTACATTATCTGTTTGCGCTGCAATTGATCCTGACCTATTCCACTGCTCAGTTAGTGATATGTTAAACATTAAGTGTTTTTGTGTAGTTTAAGAATCATTTCTCATCTACATAACTTTTATATATTCGTTTGTTCATTGCCATTTCCTATGGTAAGAATTTGAAATTCCTTAAAGAAAACACGAAACGGATAATTTCTGTTCTGTTTATATAGATATAATTTGAGGAATTAATTGGATAACAATAATAGGGTTATAGGTTTCTAGCATAAGGCATATTTAATGAAAACAAAATGAGAAAGGTCTCCGAAGTTTTATCATACAAAATAAATCAAATGTATTAAAAAAAATGAAAAGAAAAAAAAGAGAAAACAATCCAATACATCTTGCAAAATAACAATGCTAAAAGGAACTATTTGACAATACGTCAACATACAAAGATAGATCATGTTACCATAGATTTAAACATTTAACAGTAATTCATACAAACGTGTGAAGTTTTTGTATCTAAAATTAGTGTTACTCCATCGAATACATTGATATCATGACAACAACGAGCCACCAATCTTCCTTGTCATTACAATTACAGCTCACAAACATTCCTTCGCAATACAGAATCCCCACTCTTACTCTAGGTGTTTAATTCAATTCTTTATTACCTCGAGCCTTGCAGCTCATCAGTTCAGAATAACATATACATGTATGAACAGCAATAATACATGTAACACCAGGGTGTCAACTCTCCTTCCAATGGACACCAGTTCTCAAGGCCCCTGCGATCATCATGTACCGAATGGTCATGCAGGCGTTGACTGTCCAATTGATAAAGTATACTTAGCCTGCTTATAGTTTTAACATTTAAGTAAACAGTAATTCATATAAGTGTGTGAACAACGAGCCGCCTTGTCATTATACAGCTTACGGACATTCTTCCACAGTGCAGTATTCCCATCTTCTATTTGGTGAAACAGTATAACACCAGGGCCTCGCCTCTCCATCAACCAACTGACACCAGTTCTCAAGGTCACTGCGACCTTTCAGTATCGAATGGTGGTGTGGGGTTTGACTGTCCCATCGCTGACATGTTATGCCAGTCTGCGTACACGTGACTCGACCCTTGTAGATCTGATTTGTGATGTCATAGCAATCACTCACTGTAAAATCAAAGAAACATGAAAGTTGTCGTTATAGAATGAAAGAGGCTTTGAAAAAAAATTGAAAAAAAAGAAAAAAATGAAACGAAACGCATTATATGGCCACATTTATGTTCGCGAAAAAATTGCTACAGTAATATATATATATATATATAAGATCGCATGTATTACTGTTTATCAAAAACGACAGCCTATTTTCTGTCTACAACAAGCAGAAGTAATTTTCCCCATGAGTTCCTGTTTTGTGCTTATTATCTTTATTGACATAATCAATTAAATGAACAGTTATTTGGGGTTCTTGAATTGTGTGATAAAAAGGATGATACCAACCTCGTTAAAGATGACTAAATAGTCATGATAAATAAATGGAACAGGTTTAAGTTATTGTATGTTAAAAAACACGGAAATGACGTTATATTATACCACAGTAACTTAATCCTTTATGTAACAAGCATTTTTATTGATCATTTCTTATGTTATCCTACAATTCCATAAAAAATCGCCGTCAATTCGTAACGCCAGGTTTGATTGGACAAAGCGGGGGTGAAAATAAATATCAAAGAAAAGAGCACGTTGTAATTAAAATAAGATATTGCAGTTTGTGATTACAAAACTTAAAGTTAATTTGCTTTTTGCTATCTATTGATAACACAAAAACGTGTGTACTCCTGGCATTTATATAAAGTACAGTCGCCTTTTTTTGCGTATTTTTTGTTTTTGTTTAGTTTAGGATCAATAATGTAAAATAATTATCAAAGTGGAACCTGGTTTAAATGGTTGTAGGAAGTTTTATAGAGTGATAAGCCGACATGAATTGCTGTCACAACATTTGCAATAGTAATTGCAGGTTAACTGCAAAATGTCATCATGTAACATTTTCAATATGACTTTAATAGTCTATGTGGTCTCGCGTTTGTTCATTCCTCCTGTGATATCCATTCAAAAATATAATATTGCATGTACAGTTGCGTAACATAACTTGAAATCAATCCCTTAGAGTTTTTATCTTTAACTGTATACAACGGTCGTCATAGGGACCAAATTGAGAAATATTCTTTTTATTTGTGCCATATGAAGCCGAAGGTGTTTGATGCTCGTTAGTTTACCTGTTGGTTTCGTTGTTGTATACATTGTTTTCATTCAAGAACTTGACTTTACTTACTTGGATTGACCAATGATTACATGGAGGGTGTTGTCGAAGCAGAAGAAGATGTAATTCTAGTCTTATTCTCATTGCACATTTTCCGTCTCCGTGTAAATCTTTTCTTTTGTTCATATTTTACCCTAGTTTTACCTAATTTGATTTTTTTTGACGCACTGTTGATGTTTTACATCAACAAGTCTTTCAAAAATGTTCATTACATATTTACTTTGGTAGATTATACAATTCTAAAATGACATCTTTGAAGTATTGGCGGTAACGTAACTATGTAACCATGAGTAATACATGAAGATTTATGGCCACACGCATCCTTTACATCACACGCTGGTTTATAATCAAAACCCCCGATGCTCTTTTGGACTTTTTGTTTTAAAACGCTAGTAATAAACTTGAGACTCACAAGAACAGGAAATATTTGCTTGCGACCATGTAAGGTCTCCGTCGCAGCGTGTCAGGGGACAATGAGACACGGGGTCTGCAGTTACCAAGGATGCACATCGATACCATGCAAATGCGGTTGAGCCTCGATATGGCCTTTCTGTGTTGATTCTAACACCTGTCATGTTAGGTGGTGTTAATATGGTTGGCGGGTTTCCACAGTCCAGGTCTTCCACTGGACAGTAGTCCCATCTCATTTTCGGATCAGTTGTATAACACCAGGGGCGCTGCTCGCTGTACATTTTACATCTATTTCCGAGATCACTCCGACCGCGGTAGAAATTAGGTACATGAGGTGTGTCGCTATCCCACCTCTGACATGGCACGCCCCGTACGGTACAGGAAACACCGCCCTCGTAATCATACAGACTAGTATTGAAAACATCTTTCACTGTAACGATAAACATATCTTGTTAAATCGTAACAATTTCGTCAAATCGGATGTGTTGACAGTTGGTTAACTGATTTTCTTAGAGTAACTAAAAGAATTAGTTAAAACATAAGTATTTTACCTTCTCCATCTAATACCAGATCAAACGATCAAACTTGGATTCATATGAAGATTGATTAACTTACATTCAACACCTGCAGATATATATGTTAAAATTGAACAAAATAAGAAAGTATTCTGTGCGTTTTTTCTAGGAAATGTTTGGAATGGAATAGCTTACAAAAAAGGAAAATTAATTTTTAGTGATTTTCTTATTCAAATTTTCAATACAAGAAAGTGACACTACAAGGCATATAAAACTCTGTCCCAGATACTATGGATAGATATAAATCAAAATATCAAAATGCAATGCGAGAGAAATCTGGACATGTTTGATGCTCGGTGATATGTCTAGTGGTTCTGTTGTCCTTGTTCTCATTTTGGAACATGACATCAATTGACCAATATTTACATATTTACACTGATCAAATAATTGATGGATTATGAACTATTTTGAGGGTATCGTATCCAAAGTGATTCAAACGACTCACGTACCATTGGTTCATAATATCAACCAATTTTTCCTAATAGGTTTGACATTGTTAGATAGAACACATATATAATTCATGAGTGTGACTACCAATGTAATATGTTTAGTCTCCCTCACGGATGAAGTTACCCAATTATTTGCGATGTGAAATATATTTGTTATTACTGAAAATATTATCAAATAGGTTTTGGTATATTTCCTTTCTTGTTATATACTATTGTATGGCGTTTTTGGATTGGGAAGTTTATCAGACGGAGCGGTTAAAAATGTTATATTCCTTTAGAATAAAATAGTGAAAAAAACATTTTAATACTTCTCAATATTTCAGAGGTAAAGATGTAATAACAGGATCATTAACCTGTCATAGATAGTCTGGTCATCACTTCATTTTTCTAGAGCTCAAACAAAACCTAACCGTGGTCATTTACATTAAAGAGAGTTTTCATATCCATATCAACAAATTGACGATTTCAACATCGATACGTTTTAGACACCTAAGCTTTTGAATAATCGGAACATCTGGTCCTGATTACTGTGTCTATACTTAAAGGCAAGATCGCCGCCTGGGAATCTACTGAGGGGTTCCGGTTAACTTTTGACGTGACCCATGACGCACTTCCGTCAGGAGGTAATACAAACAACGAGTAAGGATATACATTCAGAAATTAGTCTGAAGACGAACAAAATATTTGCTCAATTCAGTCCAAAGCAACAATGATAATCTCATAATGACTGATTTTCGTCAGTTGATGTTACCATAAGTTGAGGTGGAGAGTTACCTGAACAAGACGCAGGCGTTGTTGTTAAACTTTGTGGATCATTACACAGAACGATTGGACAGCTGCTAACCACTTGTTGACCTGCAATTTCCTCGCAATGGTATCTCGCCCGAATACTGCTTCCGTAATACGGATATTCTAAGGAATAGCCTTGCAGGACCGGCAAAGATTGACAAATATCTGCAAAATATTACGAATCAGATTTCAGAACATGCAACATGTTGCTTCGGAACATTTTCTTCCGGTTGATAACTTCAATAGATGTGAGATTCTTATGATTAAGATACAACAAGTAGAAGTAAAACCTTCTACTGATTGTATCATACGAACTTCTATCCTAGCTTATCATATTTATCATATTTAATTTTATATTGTACAAAAAAGAACGTACAGAAAGAAAATAATTGCGATTGCAGTTTATCCCTCGTGAAAGAAAACACATGTGTTGTACACGAAGGGCTAGTAGGAGATCATCACATATTCATACTGGATGCGGATAGTATCGATTGGTATACAGGTATAGAAGTGATAGCATGGTCATTAAACTAATCATAAGTATGACTGTCATAAAATAAGTACTTACACATACAGTTCATATGGCACTATGTCAAATTAACCGTAGTTTGATCATCGAATTACATTGATTTCCTTGGATCAACATTGGAAATTACGTCAGTATTCCACGGAAAATGGTATCAAAGAGCTGCATTTCTTTCGAAACCAAGATGAAAATACCATAAAATCATAAATCAATAAATCCAACTCAAAATATGAACAATAAATGAAAGATTTACAATCTAGATGGACGATACAAACGTTTAAGAAACAATGTCAAAAACCAAATTCGTACATGCACTTATCCCTAGATTCAATCCATTTCCTTATCGTAAGCTACGTGGCTAAAAGTAGACCTGGTTAACTATAACAGAACCGTCAGTCGTACTAGCAAGCATCGAACACATCTTCAAATCTCATAAAGATATAAACCATTTCTTTTCGAGATAATTAAGACGATCATAAATAATCCTCATCAACATGAATCTGCAAACTGCCGACATCTTTCACGAAAATCTTAGTAATAGGGAACAAACCATTGCCAAACGAATCAACTGCACAATGTAAACGCACTAGGTTGTTGAAATCAAAACGTTTTTTTATTAAAAGTGGGAACATTTTCACATTTAACAACAATTTGATGAACTGTTAACACAGTAAGTTCCGTTGTTAGAAAAGATCGATGTCAATGGCTGGGTGGGGATCCTCATTCACTATGATGGTTTCAATTGTTATTATTAAATATGTTAACTATAAGATTAGAAAATAATGGTAATGTATTTATCATTGAAACTTTCCAATTATACTTATATTTGTTTTACCATTTCATTTATAGTATGTTTACTTACCGTGTAGTTTGTAATGCTGTACAACACTTGAAGTTTTACAGGATGGCCTTGCATCAATGTCTTCAATAACCACCCGACACTCGCCAGTTTTACTGTTAAAGGTAAAAGCTTCCCGGTTCTCGATATCACAAAGTATTGCACACTCTAAAGGTGACGCGGTTGTCGACTTTGACGTAACAGTGAGCACCGAAAAACATATTTCTGAAGAATACTGATGCCCATAAGTTTCTACATACTTAAAAATCACCACGAACAGACACTGTAACATAATAAACCGATACATTTTCTGGGGAAAAAGTTTTCGCTGGTTTACACCAGCTTTCATCATCTTGTCCTGTAAAAGTTCTACAATATATAAGTGCTTATTGATGATATGTTATTGTATGTTTACGAACAGTTCCTAAGAGGACCGGTTCATGGAAAACAGTGCAATGCCATCCCACAATCTAGTACAAGTTGATATTACATTATATGATTGCAAGCTTTAACATCCCTACACGATATCGTGTATTGATTTCAAGTCCAAGATCATTATTTATTTCTGAAAAATCTAATGTCTGCATGGTACCCTTAAGGTTACCTGATGATTAATTTTCAGAAAAAAAAGATATAAATGTACTTTATTAATGTTTTCAGCGATACCAATTGCAATAGCAATTCATTTTATTGCTCAATATTTCATTAATATAAAAGATACATCGTTAATATTTATTAGAGGGAAGATGTTTGGCGTCGCATACGTTCGAGTTAAGTTCTTCTACCGGTATTTTGTGTGAGTTTGCGTTGTGATTTGCCAAACAGAATGATCTTCTTTTTTCATTTTTTTATGTTGACAACAGCAATAGCTTATGAACTTTAAAGGTACAGCCAGCAATTTTGTAACTTAGGCAGGATGTCACTTTAACATATAGATGAATTGCACAAAAGCAATTGGCAAAAATAAAAAAAAAATCTTCATTCCGACAAGTTCACACAAAACAAACGTTGATCTGATTTAGAGTAAATCTTGATCAACCGCACTTCATTTGACCGACTGAAGGAAACTCTTAAAAAACCCTTATTTGCAGTAACGGAATTTAAGTATAATGTAAGTGATACTTTTGCGAGGTATTTCAAAACTCTCGAGTGTAAGAATTTAAATTTAAATTTCATGCAGTAAGGCTTGTTTCACGTCAGACAAAAGTTTTCTCTTCGTTGCTATACGTAAACGTAGCATTTAAAGAAGTTAGCCTGTCAAGTCTTCAAGAATATATCTGTAAACATCAAGCTAAAAGATGAAGGCATTTTATGGTACGTCTGATTATAAATCAGAGGGTGGATCTCCCAAAACCTATGACCATCTCAGTATTCTCATGTCATAACCTTTTAACAAAATCCCATCTCATATTCTTGTAATAGATGACTTCAATTATCCATATGTAAACTTGGAGACGCGGAACGCAAAAGAAAAATCCGAGGAATATCTATTTGTGGAAAGCGTTCTGGATTTTTCCCTCTTCTAACATGTAAACAAAAACAAACCCTTTGGAGAGGTACAAATAAGTTTGAGTCTGGCATTCACTATTGCGGCAGACCTGAAATCAAATACTGAACACTAGAGTCCCCTTGGCAAGAGTGGCCACTTTACACCGAGCTTCGATTTCAAATGTTACACCACAACCATAGAAACTGCTAGACCATTTTTTTCACGATAAAGCTGATTTTACTGAAAATTCCAACATGCTGGCGACTTTAGAAACAATAATAAATACATTTACAGTCTCACATTTCATCCTAAGAAAGTGTTATTTATATAGGAAATCAACATTTTTGCGTAATTGTTTCTTTTAATCAATCTTGGTTATAATCCTTAACATGGAGTGTCTGTTAAAATCATGCAAATTTAACATCGGCATTACACGAACAATGCAGTTCAATTCATCTTACTTTGTTCTGGATTCTTTTCTTTTCCAAAATGTACGAAAACGAATTCGTTGGAGAGGTAAAAATGAGTCTTCAAAAGTTTGGCAGAATGACTCACAACGGCAGCGATCTCGGGCCGTATTAATAAACTTTATCCGAAAAAGTCAAACATAAATGTTAGAAAACAATCATATTTTATGAGTTGTAAATATATGGAATAGCTTTTGAGGAAATGTTGTATAAACGCTGTAAACAAAGAGATTAAAAGACAGACTGAATAACCACTAAGCCGACCATGTTTTATTGTATTGTCATAAAGTTAAAGTTCAGGTTTAATGGATAACGTGATGTTACATTTTATAGTGTATTCCATATATATTCAGGGTCTGGTGAAGAGAATAAAAAAGATCCTGTATAAGAAAATAAATTAAACTAGATGTAACACTGGTAAAATGGTCATTCCATTACCCCCGGTTAGTAGAAACATCAGCTCCCAACATTGTAGTGATAGTCCTCAGCATTTCTTCTTGTACCCTTCTGCAGCTCGATGTTTGCAGTTTTAGCCTTCTGAACCATATTGCTATTTTTCAGCCTTGTCAAAACTTCAAAATGGCAGGCACAGTAGCGATTTTGTAGCATGATTCCACAACTTTTTCATGATACTGTCTAGGAATGTTCAAAATTTGAATCCATCAGCTTGACAACCATGCTCAAATACAGTAGTCTGTCTATCCGTCGATTGCCAGATGACCGTTAAGGAGCATTGGCTTTCTTGTTGAATTTGTGTATATAATATTATGTGATCTTGAAATACATGAGCATTATCTTCAGTCACTTGGTCTTTTTCACTCGACACATCATCTATTACTTCATATCTGACAGTAAACACAATTTTCCAATCTCCGACCATTGGCATGTGTTTGCACTGAATGCAATTATAAGAAGTACTTATCGCTCTATTCTATGAGCCTGTCAATATCTGATAGGAATGCAATGCATTCTCATCTTCGAGTCCACGTTTCTTTAGAATTTATACTACCTTGTAGATCCCTTCTATTTAGGACAAAGTAAGAGGACAGTCATTCGAATTCAGTAAGCAATACTATGATAGTGGTTTTCATCAACATTTGCCTCTGGTATTACGGAGCACTTCAGCTCCATATTTTCCATTTCCCAATTTTTTCCATTTTTCTGTTGTATACAATTCCATTTGTGTGGACAAAATGTCTCACACATATTATAGGTAGAACTTCGCTCGAACGTCTGCGGCGCCAAAACAACTTCCCTCTAATTAATATTAACGATGTATCTTGTTAATTGTCAAATCAATGAGCAATAAAATGAGATGCTATTGCAATTGGTAATGCTGAAAACATTAATAATGAACATGTGTATCCTTTTTTTCCCTTGAAAATTAATCATCAGATAACCTTAAGGGTACAATGCAGACATTAAAATCCCCAGAAACAATTATCTGGGACTTAAGATTAATACATGATATTGTTAAGCGATGTTAAGGCCTGTAATCATATAATGTAATATCAACTTGTACTAGATGGTTGGGTGGCATTGCACTGCATGAACTGGTCCTCTCGGGAACTGTTCGTAAACATATAATAACATACATGTATTATCACAAAGCATTTGGATTTTGAAGGTCCCCTTTTAAGGCTGATTTCATCACATGATTTTTTTTTTCTTTTCTTTTCTTTTTTTCATTGTATGACTGTTACGAGTGTAAGATGGCTCGATGAGAAAGAAATAAACAAATCATAGAGAGTTTACATGTAGGTGTTTGCGTTTGAATTTTGGAATTTATTTTTTTTTAATTTTGTATCAGTGAGATACAGAAATACTGTGAGTTTATGATGCTAATGTAATATCACAAGGTTTTCCAGTGATTTTGGCAAGATATATAGATGTGATGCTGGAGAGAGAAACAAATTGGTGAACATGCATGTAATTTATGGATCGATATGATGACTGATTCAATCAGGTATTTCTGCCTGTCAGGCACATGCATAAGTATTTGTGTATTGGGTTGTGATTTGGAATAATGTATAACTTCTTCAAAGTAAATATACGACTTTAATTCAAAGCTTTCAAGGTGAACTTGATAAATAATTCAAACAAATCAATAAAGAACTGATTTGATATCGTTTACTGTCACTGAATATCCTCATACAATCTAGTGAAAACCTCATCAAAACTAAAGGAGTACAGAAACGCTTACACATATTTACGCAGATGATTGATAGTGTTCAGCACCTATGTAGCCAACGCAGCATTTCCAATATCCGTATCAAATCATTGCAGATAAATGTACACTCGTGTACCTTTCTAACCGAATAGAGGCCCGTTAACCTAACTTAAGATTTGGTTGGTCATTGGGTATATAGGTCTATTATAAGTAATGTTATTTCTCATCCTGTGACCTGTGGCCTACATATATTGTTTCTTGCTTATACAACCAGAGGTAGAATTATTTAATTCCAGTATTACTGTAAAAAGAAAAGCAGATTTTAAAAAGAATAACAGCAGTCTACCCACACCTAATCCCACCTCTTTACCCTGAAGGATCTCCTTTTTTAGGGACCATCCTTACCAAATCAAGAAATAACCTGTTTATTGTCATACTTTTATCTCAAATATAATCTAATTCATATTTAATCCCTCATCAACTGAGTGCGTGTAACTCAAACATAGTTTTTTTTTTCGGAGTTCCAAAACTTACAGCTAGATACTAGCGCATTTCTTATCATGCTATGTATAATACTATATAATAAACCAATCATCATGTTCTAACTGATCTAAGACATACATTTGTTACATTGTATCTCAGGCGAAGTGTAACAGTAAAAGAAATACCTCTCCAACATAACTAAATGACCAATGTATACATAATGTAGAATCATAAGTTTTATATCAGCATTAAATATTTCATTTGCAATTTTATCATAATGTAATACATATTATCCGTCTGTATTTCTGAGTATACTTATTTTACAGTTATATTAATGTTGGCGTGGAAAATGTATCAAAAAATATCAGTATCACTATGCATTTAAGAGTTATGTCCCTTCCGTAGAAAAACCTATTACTACAAATACTATAGCTTTGTTATTCTAGGTTTCTGTTGTGTGGAATATAAATTTATGTCGACGATCTATGTGTTATTTTATTTATGTATCAGAAAGGTAAGATGTGTATGTAACACATACGAAATATATGTCATTTGCTGTTAAGAATAAGATATAAGTATTTTCATTGTCTACATATTCGTTATTGTGTGTATAAAGAAATAGGACGTGCGTATGAGTGTTCAACAAATCGGACAATCTTTGACAAGTGTTATGAAAATTTCTAGCGAATAAAGTAGATTCCGTATTGATATTTTCATCTATAGGTGCACATATCCTGATATAAGTTAATGAAGTGCAGAAAAGTGATAAGTGAAATGTAGTATTTCAACTTTTAGTTAAAATTGTTACAGTTCGAAACACGGCATTTGGTTAGTGTCATGCATTTATTATAAAGTCAACAAAAGAAAAAGAAAATATGCTAACATTTTGTGTAAAATATTTGTGACATTATGACATTACGACAAAATACCTTCCAGTTATAGATTATGCTACCACAAATTTAAGAGTAATAGGTATAACGTGTAAAGATGTTGTATTTAAGATAAGTGTTACTAGTTATAAACAATCCACCGAGTACATCCATAATATGACAGCAACGAGCCGCCAGTCTTCCTTGTCATTATACAGCTCACGAACATTCCACAACAGGACAGTAGTCCCATCTTTTATATGATGAAACAGTATAACACCAGGGCCTCGCCTCTCCATCAGCCAGCTGACACCAGTTCTCAAGGTCACTGCGACCTTTCAGTATCGAATGGTGGTGTGGGGTTTGACTGTCCCATCGCTGACAGGCAATGTCTGTCTGTGTACAGGATACTCGACCATGGTAGATCTGATCTTTGACGTCATAGCAATCACTCACTGTAAAATCAAATAAACATGAGCTGAAGTATAATTTGATTCAGAATGAACATTGGAACACGGTACGTTAAATAGATAAAAGGGATTTTGACAATAGATTAAAAAAACATTCTGTATGTATAAAGTAAATGATATTATGTTTTGTAAATGTTTCATAATAAAATAATCAATGCATTGTACCTTGGCGTCATTTGAGGTTCTTGTATTGTGGAGCATAAAAGATGACACTAGCTTGGTTTCAGATACGCTTACCACAGACTGGACACAATAGTCACGGTAAATAAATGGAATATGGGTAATTGTGTGTTGAAAACATACATACATAAGAAAGCGGTAACATGGAAATGACGTTATGTTATTCCATAATATCTTAATCCTAAGAGAAACAAATCAAGCATTTTGATTGGCCATTTTATATGTTGTCAACCCATATTATCATATTTTGTCAAGTCTGATTGGCTAATTTGGTAGTGTAAGAAATTATAAAATAAAAGATTAAGTATAAAGACATTCCAGGTAATGATTGATATTATAAGAAATAACGGGAACTAGTTTTATATGGTTTTGAGCAACGACCACGGGATGTACTTAGCACTTATACAGATTACAGTCTGGTACTCTGGTTTGTGTGTTTGGGGAGGAGTTTAAAGGTGTGAGGATGTTTGTGTTTGGGGAGGAGTTTAAAGGTGTGAGGATGTTTGTGTTTGGGGAGGGGTTTAAAGGTGTGAGGATGTTTGTGTTTGGGGAGGATGTTTGTGTTTGGGGAGGAGTTTAAAGGTGTGAGGATGTTTGTGTTTGGGGCGAGTTTAGGGTGTGAGGATTTTTGTGTTTAGGGAGGGTTTTAGGGTGTGAGGATGTTTGTGTTTGGGGAGGGGTTAAATGGTGTGATGATGTTTGTGTTTAGGGAGGGTTTTAGGGTGTGAGGATGTTTGTGTTTGGGGAGGGGTTAAATGGTGTGATTATGTTTGTGTTTGCGGAGGGGTTTAATGGTGTGAGGATGTTTGTGTTTGTTGAGGGGTTTAATGGTGTGAGGATGTTTGTGTTTGTTGAGGGGTTTAATGGTGTGAGGATGTTTGTGTTTGTTGAGGGGTTTAATGGTGTGAGGATGTTTGTGTTTGTTGAGGGGTTTAAGAGTGTGAGGATGTTTGTGTTTGTTGAGGGGTTTAAGAGTGTGAGGATGTTTGTGTTTGGGAAGGGTTTTAGGGTGTGAGGAAGTTTGTGTTTGTTGAGGGGTTTAATGGTGTGAGGATGTTTGTGTTTGTTGAGGGGTTTAATGGTGTGAGGATGTTTGTGTTTGGGGAGGGGTTTAATGGTGTGAGGATGTTTGTGTTTGTTGAGGGGTTTAATGGTGTGAGGATTTTTGTGTTTGGGGAGGGTTTTAGGGTGTGAGGATGTTTGTGTTTGGGGAGGGTTTAATGGTGTGAGGATTTTTGTGTTTGGGGAGGGTTTAATGGTGTGAGGATGTTTGTGTTTGGGGAGGGTTTAATGGTGTGAGGATTTTTGTGTTTGGGGAGGGTTTTAGGGTGTGGGGATGTTTGTGTTTGGGGAGGGGTTAAATGGTGTGATTATGTTTGTGTTTGCGGAGGGGTTTAAGAGTGTGAGGATGTTTGTGTTTGGGAAGGGTTTTAGGGTGTGAGGAAGTTTGTGTTTGTTGAGGGGTTTAATGGTGTGAGGATGTTTGTGTTTGTTGAGGGGTTTAATGGTGTGAGGATGTTTGTGTTTGGGGAGGGGTTTAATGGTGTGAGGATGTTTGTGTTTGTTGAGGGGTTTAATGGTGTGAGGATTTTTGTGTTTGGGGAGGGTTTTAGGGTGTGAGGATGTTTGTGTTTGGGGAGGGTTTAATGGTGTGAGGATGTTTGTGTTTGTTGAGGGGTTTAAGAGTGTGATGATGTTTGTGTTTGGGGAGGGGTTTAGGGTGTGATGATGTTTGTGTTTGGGGAGGGTTTTAGGGTGTGAGGATGTTTGTGTTTGGGGAGGGTTTTAGGGTGTGAGGATGTTTGTGTTTGGGGAGGGTTTAATGGTGTGAGGATGTTTGTGTTTGGGGAGGGTTTTAGGGTGTGAGGATGTTTGTGTTTGGGGAGGGTTTTAGGGTGTGAGGATGTTTGTGTTTGGGGAGGGTTTTAGGGTGTGATGATGTTTGTGTTTGGGGAGGGTTTAATGGTGTGAGGATGTTTGTGTTTGGGAGGGTTTTAGGGTGTGAGGATGTTTGTGTTTGGGGAGGGTTTTAGGGTGTGAGGATGTTTGTGTTTGGGGAGGGTTTTAGGGTGTGAGGATGTTTGTGTTTGGGGAGGGTTTTAGGGTGTGAGGATGTTTGTGTTTGGGGAGGGTTTTAGGGTGTGAGGATGTTTGTGTTTGGGGAGGGTTTAATGGTGTGAGGATGTTTGTGTTTGGGGAGGGTTTTAGGGTGTGAGGATGTTTGTGTTTGGGGAGGGTTTTAGGGTGTGATGATGTTTGTGTTTGGGGAGGGTTTAATGGTGTGAGGATGTTTGTGTTTGGGAGGGTTTTAGGGTGTGAGGATGTTTGTGTTTGGGGAGGGTTTTAGGGTGTGAGGATGTTTGTGTTTGGGGAGGGTTTAATGGTGTGAGGATGTTTGTGTTTGGGGAGGGTTTAATGGTGTGAGGATGTTTGTGTTTGGGGAGGGTTTTAGGGTGTGAGGATGTTTGTGTTTGGGGAGGGTTTTAGGGTGTGATGATGTTTGTGTTTGGGGAGGGTTTAATGGTGTGAGGATGTTTGTGTTTGGGAGGGTTTTAGGGTGTGATGATGTTTGTGTTTGGGGAGGGTTTAATGGTGTGAGGATGTTTGTGTTTGGGAGGGTTTTAGGGTGTGAGGATGTTTGTGTTTGGGGAGGGTTTAATGGTGTGAGGATGTTTGTGTTTGGGGAGGGTTTAATGGTGTGAGGATGTTTGTGTTTGGGAGGGTTTTAGGGTGTGATGATGTTTGTGTTTGGGGAGGGTTTAATGGTGTGAGGATGTTTGTGTTTGGGAGGGTTTTAGGGTGTGAGGATGTTTGTGTTTGGGGAGGGTTTTAGGGTGTTAGGATGTTTGTGTTTGGGGAGGGTTTAATGGTGTGAGGATGTTTGTGTTTGGGGAGGGTTTTAGGGTGTGAGGATGTTTGTGTTTGGGGAGGGTTTTAGGGTGTGAGGATGTTTGTGTTTGGGGAGGGTTTTAGGGTGTGAGGATGTTTGTGTTTGGGAGGGTTTTAGGGTGTGAGGATGTTTGTGTTTGGGGAGGGTTTTAGGGTGTGAGGATGTTTGTGTTTGGGGAGGGTTTTAGGGTGTGAGGATGTTTGTGTTTGGGAGGGTTTTAGGGTGTGAGGATGTTTGTGTTTGGGGAGGGTTTTAGGGTGTGAGGATGTTTGTGTTTTGGGAGGGGTTTTAGGGTGTGATGATGTGTGCACAGTAAATGAGAATAATTCATTTACAATGTTAATTATACGGTTTATTCAGCACTGACTTAGTTTTCCCAGTCTGGATTTTCTCTAGAATCATTAATGATGCTGTGAATTGATCAACCGCACTGAATAAAAATTTCAACCCACATCAAATCGAAATGACTTGATGTCTGTATATACAACTTTTATTGCCAATACCGTTAGTAATCACAGGTTATTGAAAAAATGTTTCATAACATTGTCCATATTAATTTCTCGTTCACTCCCGAATATCCTTAAATATTGATAAACAGTCACGCAGACATTGTGAAACCGATCCCATGGTGTTTTGATAATGAGATGGATGTATTAAAATCGACTTAATGATAATTTATGTTTAAAGTTACATGTTTACATAGACTCCTTTCATTAATGTGATATTGTAACGAATTTATTATGTAAAAGTATCGGCTCATTAGATGTCATAATTTTGTTAAAAGTTGTTTTCCTTTTCGAATTTATTTTGATTTTTTGATAATATGGTTATTTTGTTTCCTTGTTTCCCTGTTTTGATTCTGCAAATCAATCCATTTTCTGTTCACGTTTCAAGGTAGGTGTAACTTAATTACTGTAAAATCGATAATTTTCGTTGAAGTTTTATTTTCATTAAATTAGTGGATCCTCTTAATCTAAGAATTTCAATGTACGAATTAATAAGAAGATAAAAAATGATGATTTTTTCACAAAATTCAGTACCAATAAAAAAGCACCTTTTTGTAAAATCACGAGATTTCGGCTCGACGACAATACTACTTAGTTGTTTAATTTCGCGGAGCATATATTTCTCAGTTGTAGGTTTGTGCTACTTAAAGGGTATCTAATTCCGCGTTTCTCTATATGATTTGTATCGATGTATACAGGAATAACCGATATTTTCTGAGATTTTGAACCAGGAATGTAGTGAAATTAAATTCACCGCGAATATTCAGTAAATGATCTTACGCCACTAACATTTAACCTCTTACTTAGTTTTATTTATTTCTTGACATATTAGCCTTGTTTTACATCAACATGTCTTTCAAGAAAGTGTCTAATAAACATTTAGAATAGACTATTCTAAACTGTCGTCTTTGAAGTACTGAAGTTTCTTTAAATGAAACATTAAGACCTAACTACAAGTGCTGTAGAATTATGTTATAAGTAATGACGATTTTTAAGGCTAAATGTTACCTTTACGTCACACAGGAAATTAAGTGTATATACTTTACGTAAATTGTGGGTAATAAAACTTAAATGTGGTTGAAATTTACAACTGGTCTTCTGACATTACTTAGAATTATTTTATACTATGTAATAATAATTCATTGGTCCACACTGGTCATGAATGTGAATTCGTCAGCAACACTTTGTAATTGGTATAAGTCGAAAAAGAAAACAATATTAATCAAAATCAGACATTTAATTACAATGTTCTTTTGGATTTTTTGTTTGAAAACCAAATGGAGACTTACAAGAACAGGAAATGTTTGCTTGCGACCATGTAAGGTCTCCGTCGCAGCGTGTCAAGGGGCAATGCTGCAGGGGTTCTGCTGTTACCAAGGATGCACATCGGTACCATGCCAGTGCGATTGAGCCTCGATATGGCCTTTCTGTGTAGATCCCAGTTCCTGTCATGGTAGGCGGTGTCAAAATAGTTGGCGGGGTTCCGCAATCAATGTCTTCCACGGGACAGTAGTCCCATCTCATTTTCGGATCAGTTGTATAACACCAGGGGCGCTGCTCGCTGTACAGTTTACATCTATTTCCGAGATCACTCCGACCGCGGTAGAAATGAGGTACATGAGGTGTGTCGCTATCCCACCTCTGACATGGCACGCCCCGTACGGTACAGGAAACACCGCCCACGTAATCATCCAGACTATTGTTGAAAACATCTTTCACTGTAACGTTTAACATTCATATTGTTACTTGAGGTGTTTTTTTCCAAACCAATACAAAAAATAGACGATTTTAGTACTGATACTGGGCTTTTCACCAATAAAAGATTTGATGACCACATGGGATTCTGTCAAGATTCTATGAATGACTTTTAACATGAACAATATTCTCATGGGGATATGACGTACTTTCGTCAGGTGGTATTATATGCAACTATTAAGGATTCACATTTACGTTCACTAAGAACAAATACATTCAAAAGAATTCCCTTTGTCAGTACAATGATAGTTTCATATGATTGATTTATTGATTTAAGTGTATGTAGAGAAAATAAATGACTGTGCATGAATGCGTGAAATTACCCGAACAAGATGCAGGTGTGGCTGTCAAGTTTTGTGAATCATTACACAGAACGAGTGGACAGCTGGTGACCGGTTGTTGATCTATGATATCCTTGCAACGGTATCTTCCACGAGCACTGCTTCCGTAGTATGGATATTCTAAGAAGTGACCCTGCGGGACCGGCAACAATTGACAATTACCTGCAAAATATTACGAATAAGACTTCAGAACAGGTAACATATTCAGTTTAGTTAATGTAGAAGATACGATTAAATTGTAATTTATCCATTGTGAAAAGAGGAATATTTCTATAGAGCAAGCTGAACTTAACACGAACTACTGGTAGCAGATCATTATATAGACATATTGGATACTTCTTTGTGCGACGTGAAACTGCGTAACTGATGCTGGTTAGTTTACCTGTTGGTTCTGTTGTTGTATACCCTGTTCTCATTGGAACACGTGGCATTACTTTCATGGATTGTCCAAGGTGTACATATAGGTCATATTTTGCCCTAGATTCATGGAATTTGAATTCGAATTATGATTATGATGTCATGCTGGTATTATCTTGATATATTTTGTGTAAACAACCAGCATCGAAAATGTTTTTTGTTCAAGTTGTTCATGGGCAATTCCTGAGGTATGAAAATAAAGGACACAAAGCAAAAATCAGATAGGAATGAGTATTAGTAATTAACAATAATATATATCCTTGTACTATATTGTTTGTTATGTACGCGATGGCTGTGATTTCTCTTTCACCTCCATTTTCGCGATCAATAAAGAAAAAGTGAAATTAGATAGCCAGCGAACATTTATTTGATAAATGACAATTTATGAAAATATCTGTCTGCATGCATTGACACCAGTTCATAAACATGCGCAAAGTTAATTACCCGCGAGCATTCCCAAACCGAAAATACCTTGAAATATTAGCCCCGTGAAATTAAACAACTGTACATTAGTTGGAGAAAATATCATTTCATTATCCGAAAGCTAGTTTGCAGGATAAAATGTAAATTCTTGATTCTTTGGCCAAGTTCGCCATATTTGCATCATTCTTGCATAAAAAATCTTTGATCATTATAAAATTATTAAACTATCCGAGAATTAGGGATTGAGGATTATGATTAATCGTATTTAATACATTATGTAGTATGTGATTATAATACAAGGAATGAGGTTAAAACGTGAGTCAGTACATCTGTATATTGTAAATCATATCCGCTATATTGATTATATTGATTTTCGATTAATTATAGGCTATGGTTAAAAGTTTGATTAATTATAGGCTATGGTTAAAAGTTTGATTAATTATAGGCTATGGTTAAAAGTTTGATTAATTATACGCTATGGTTAAAAGTTTGATTAATTATAGGCTATGGTTAAAAGTTTGATTAATTATAGGCTATGGTTAAAAGTTTGATTAATTATAGGCTATGGTTAAAAGTTTGATTAATTATAGGCTATGGTTAAAAGTTTGATTAATTATAGGCTATGGTTAAAAGTTTGATTAATTATAGGCTATGGTTAAAAGTTTGATTAATTATAGGCTATGGTTAAAAGTTTGATTAATTATAGGCTATGGTTAAAAGTTTGATGAATTATAGGCTATGGTTAAAAGTTTGATTAATTATAGGCTATGGTTAAAAGTTTGATTAATTATAGGCTATGGTTAAAAGTTTGATTAATTATAGGCTATGGTTAAAAGTTTGATTAATTATAGGCTATGGTTAAAAGTTTGATTAATTATAGGCTATGGTTAAAAGTTTGATTAATTATAGGCTATGGTTAAAAGTTTGATTAATTATAGGCTATGGTTAAAAGTTTGATTAATTATAGGCTATGGTTAAAAGTTTGATTAATTATAGGCTATGGTTAAAAGTTTGATTAATTATAGGCTATGGTTAAAAGTTTGATTAATTATAGGCTATGGTTAAAAGTTTGATTAATTACAGGCTATGGTTAAAAGTTTGATTAATTACAGGCTATGGTTAAAAGTTTGATTAATTATAGGCTATGGTTAAAAGTTTGATTGAAATTGAATACAGATAAGTCAGATATAAGTTTTCTATAACCAATGGATATGAACATTACTTGATAGTTATATAAAGGTTCGATAAGTCCTTAACATCATCATAGCAGCAAATAATATAATATGACTTTTAAATTAAATGACGACAGTTACAAAACAAATTGCACCGTCGTTAAAACATTTATGTGTTCATCATATTATACATTACAGCTGGATACTATCCTCACTTTACACTACTTGTATGTGCTCTAAAACTAATCGTACAAACAAAGAGAATCCTAAGAAAAACGTTCAAGATATTAGAAAATTCACGAAGACTTGAAAGACGCCAAATGTTTAGTCATTTAATAATAATAAAAAAAAAGTCACACAACTTTCTTTTGTCCCCTTAAATTACACAGAAACCACACGTCTGAAACAAAGCTGTTAACTGCGTGCAGTCATCTTTGAAACACACAGATGATGCAGATGTAATTAATAAAATGCTATTACAAACATATGTTATCATAAGCTATGATAACTAGACCTAAATAAGAAATCCTGATCATAAAAACGGAACAATTTGTCATTCACAATGAATCTGGCAAATAAAAAGTAAAACAGCAATCAAATCTACATATGTATATGATTTGGTGAGAGTATCAATAAATAACACATATCATTTGATATAAAGAAGTGTTTCAACAGACTGCAATGTTTACGTCCCGTTTACGGTAACAAGATTATTAATTTATGGGCGGCCTTTCACCCTGTCATTGTTTACATATTCTAAAACCATTTTATTTTCAGTACTTATGTCAATGTAAAAAGACCACAAAATGACACTTTTAACAAAGGAGCTTGTTGAATCTTAAATAGTATACTTGATTGTTCCATTGTCAACTACCATGTACTCATCCATGAACGTGACATTAATTACTTGGCATGAATAAGAGTAACATGGCGGTTGTCGCCGATGAAGTAGGAAACAATGACCGTTCCTAAACACTGTCTTTCAAGAGTCTCCATGAAAATCTTTCTTTTGTCAATAGTTCTCCTCGAATTGAACACTTTACACAATTTCTGAATATCAAATGATTTTTCATAAATTTCAAATAAGACTTATTGCCTTAAATCTTTAAAATGTTCAAGGTGTCATAAAAAGTACCAGTCGCAGCCAAGTATTCATCAAATAAATGGTACTAGGATAGTTGAATCAATACATCGACTTAAATGTATTCTATGAGACGTTGAGACGCCACATCCTTTACGAAAATCTATTCTATAGGCATATTTACAGAAAACTAAAAGTCAAGGAAACTATTGAAATGGTTGCACAAAAGGCACACACAAAAACAGCACCTTTCAATACAAATCAGGGACGAGATAGAGTAGAGCCAACTAATGAATAAAACTGCATAATACTGCTGTTTTATCCATCTACGCCTCACCATTGGTGCTAAAGTTGGGAATTGGTGAAACCAAGAAGGCGACTGCGAAAGATCCAAACTTAAAGACAATGTGAAAGAAAGTAAAAATACAAAAAGACACTGATTCCTACATTCAAACAGTTACATTGTTGTTAAGCCACGTTGCCAAATGAGACAAGGTTACCGAGAACAGAAGCGCCTGACGTACTAGCAAGGCATCAGACATGTCCATTCTCCCTAATGAAATCAAAATGATGACTTCAAATACTCAATAATAATTTCCATCAAACTGCATCTTTCGAATCCGCCATTTGAGTTTATTTCTAAGCTGTCACTATTCATTGTAATGGGGAAAAGTAATTAAATAACGCATACACTACGACCTGCTACCAAACAGTGGAACATTCAAAATAGAAAAAAAAACATATATATTATACAGTTTATTGACATGCTGTTGCTGTTAGATTCGATGCAAGAAAATGTCGTAGTCAGCAAATGATATGAATTTTGACGCGTTCAACATAATTTCGACATCATTTTCAAGTTAATTGGGAGAAGGTCTTGATTTAATAAGATGATTTCAATTTTTCATTTTGATCTATAATGACCAAAATTTTGTTAAGTTTGATGAAATTTACGGTACCATATCAGCAATAATATTATTTATAACATGTCTGTTTACATACCGTGTAGTTTGTAATACTGGGCATCACTTTGAGTTTTACAGGATGGCCTTGCATCAATGTCTTCAATAAACAACTGACACACGCCAGTCTGATTGTTATAGGAAAACGCCTCACGATTATTAGTATCACAAAGTATCGCACACTCTAAAAGCGACGTGGTTGTCGACTTTGACGTCACAGTGCGCACTGCCAAACACGTCTCTAAAGAATAACGACGTCCATAAGATTCCACGTGCTTAAGATTCATCACAAATAGAAACTGAAACAAAATACAGCTATACATTTTCTGAAAAGAATCTTTTCACGTTAGGAGTTCACACAAGGTAACCACGTTCTGTCTTTAAATAGTCTTTTAATGAGAGTCCTTGGTGATGCGCGTTTATATATGTAAACGATCAGTTCCTGTAAAGACTGGCTGATGGAAATGGAGTGGTGACATAATATATTACTACCGATGAAGGGAAGGTGTGAACGTTTCAAGTACTGTAGTACTGAACAAAGTATTGATAGTATTGTACTGAAGTACTTCACCAATCGAATTCCTTAAATTTATGCAACAACCTCTCTGATTGGCAGAGCCAAGTCTAGATCGATTGTGGGTGGAGCCAGGTGAAAAAATACTGTGCAGACATCGGCATTTTACAAACACTCGACTGTCGCGAGAGGTTAATTGGAAGAGTCCAAGTCACAGGTGGCTTCAGATCAGACCTAATTGGGTTGTCCCATTTGTTTCGTTCTACACCCAATGATACTTTGCTTTTCCATCGATGGTACAACGAGAAAACGATATATATATATAAACTAATTTACGTACAAAATATATATCAACAGGTTAGATCACTGGGACCGGAGAATTCATAACATCTTAACAGTGAATGTAGTCACATAGTCATTCTGTACTAGTTTTATTTATTTATTTATTTTTTTGAAGGGGGGGGGGGGGGGGGGAGGGTTGGCTCAAAATATTTCGGTTTAAGCCCAAGCTCTATTATATGTAACAAAGAATTACGAATTACCTGGGACCTCCTGATATATGCCGATAATTCATACTGCATTAAAAAATAAAGGAATTCTGTGGTCCCATATATTTTTTATTTTATTTTTTATCTTTCCATCGAAAATTATACATATCCGCAACATGTGAAAAAACTTTGAAGTTGGTTGGGCGGAATATCTAGAGCATTTACTACTGCAAGTTCCAGAAATTCTGACACAAGTCGGGTATATTTGCCCGAAGCCTCAGTCTCATGACATTGAATACATATTCAGTTACGTTGTATTCCGGGGAATAAGGCGGCTGAAAAACCAGGGACACGCCATATTCTTTCAGCATATTTCTTAAAATGCGCTCTCCCTGTCTATGGTGATGGAATCCACAATTATCCATCACAACCACATCGCCTTGTACAAAAACAGGATTCCCCATATCGTTCGTATCGGACATAATTTCGTCGAAGAAAATTTTGCGTACTGTTGCCGTCGTCGGACATTTTTCCAGCGATTACTTAGTACTTGTTATGTAACTGATAGTGTACATTAACTCCGCCTACCGGAACAAATTGGGTGTCAGATCAACTATTCAGGTTGTCTAAACTCCGCCCCCGACCAATCACAGAGGTCGTTGTATACTTGACTCGATTATTTGAATACTTCAATACAATAGTATCAATACTTTGTTCAATACTATAGTAAGTGTGTCGTTCACACCTTCCCTTCATCGGTAGTAATGAGGCTTGAACATCATCCATACCCGTGTATTGATCTATTACCCATTACGATGAGACGTTAACCGATACATCTATTGATATTTGCAACATTACATCTGCAATGATTTCAAACTTTTCACTTAAATAGCTGTAATGAGGAAATCTGTCTTGGTTTTGTTAAATAAGTTGTTTTAGCATGTTTCCGGTTTCAGATACAGTTGATCATCATTTTATACAGTGTCATATATGAACGCTTTACAAAGGACTATATATATATATATATATCATATTTTTGTATAGTGTCCTAGTACAGTATTCTTTTGAGGTGACACTGTCCCTATTACAGTATTTGGAGGTGATACACTGTAAGAGTCAATGTCCCTATTACAGTATTCTTTGGAGGTGATACACTGTAGGAGAGTCAATGTCCCTATAAAAGTATTCTTTGGAGGTGATACACTGTAAGAGTCAATGTCCCTATTACAGTATTCTTTGGAGGTGATACACTGTGGTAGAGTCAATGTCCCTATTACAGTATTCTTTGGAGGTGATACACTGTAAGAGTCAATGTCCCTATTACAGTATTATTTGGAGGTGATACACTGTAAGAGTCAATGTCCCTATTACAGTATTCTTTGGAGGTGATACACTGTGGTAGAGTCAATGTCCCTATTATGGTATTCTTTGGAGGTGATACACTGTAGGTGAGTCGATATCCCTATTACAGTATTCGTTGGATGTGATACACTGTAGGAGAGTCAATGTCCCTATAAAAGTATTCGTTGGAGGTGATACACTGTAGGATAGTCAATGTCCCTATTACAGTATTCTTTGGAGGTGATACATTGTAGGAGAGTCAATATCCATATTACAGTATTTTTTGGAGGTGATACACTGTGGTAGAGTCAATGTCCCTATTAGAGTATTCTTTGGTGGTGATACACTGTAAGAGTCAATGTCCCTGTTACAGTATTCTTTGGAGGTGATACATTGTAGGAGAGTCAATTTCCCTATTACAGTATTCTTTGGAGGTGATACACTGTAGGAGAGTCAATATCCATATTACAGTATTTTTTGGAGGTGATACACTGTAAGAGTCAATGTCCCTATTACAATATTCTTTGGAGGTGATACACTGTGGTAGAGTCAATGTCCCTATTACAGTATTCTTTGGAGGTGATACACTGTAGTAGAGTCAATGTCCCTACAAAAGTATTCGTTGGAGGTGATACACTGTAGGAGAGTCAATGTCCTTATTACAGTATTATTTGGAGGTGATACACTGTAAGAGTCAATGTCCCTATTACAGTATTCTTTGGAGGTGATACACTGTGGTAGAGTCAATGTCCCTATTACAGTATTCTTTGGAGGTGATACATTGTAGGCGATACATTGTAGGAGAGTCAATCTCCCTATTACTGTATTCTTTGGAGGTGATACAATGTAAGAGAGTCAATGTCCCTATTACAGTATTCTTTGGAGGTGATACATTGTAGGAGAGACAATGTCCCTATTACAGTATTCTTTGGAAGGGATACACTGTAGGAGAGTCAATGTCCCTATTACAATATTCTTTGGAGGTGATACACTGTAGGAGAGTCAATGTCCCTATTACAGTATTCTTTGGAGGTGATACACTGTAAGAGTCAATGTCCCTATTACAGTATTCTTTGGAGGTGATACATTGTAGGCGATACATTGTAGGAGAGTCAATATCCCTATTACAGTATTCTTTGTAGGCGATACACTGTAAGAGTCAATGTCCCTATTACAGTATTCTTTGGAGGCGATACAGTGTAAGAGTCAATGTCCCTATTACAGTATTCTTTGGAGGCGATACACTGTAAGAGTCAATGTCTCTATTACAGTATTCTTTGGAGGTGATACATTGTAGGCGATACATTGTAGGAGAGTCAATGTCCCTATCACTGTATTCTTTGGAGGCGATACAGTGTAAGAGTCAATGTCCCTATTACAGTATTCTTTGGAGGCGATACACTGTAAGAGTCAATGTCTCTATTACAGTATTCTTTGGAGGTGATACATTGTAGGCGATACATTGTAGGAGAGTCAATGTCCCTATCACTGTATTCTTTGGAGGTGATACAATGTAAGAGTCAATGTCCCTATTACAGTATTCTTTGGAGGTGATACATTGTAGGCGATACATTGTAGGATTGTCAATTTCCCTATTACAGTATTCTTTGGAGGTGATACATTGTAGGAGAGACAATGTCCCTATTACAGTGTCCTTTAGAGGGGATACACTGTAGGAGAGACAATGTCCCTATTACAGTATTCTTTGGAAGGGATACACTGTAGGAGAGTCAATGTCCCTATTACAATATTCTTTGGAGGTGATACACTGTAGGAGAGTCAATGTCCCTATTACAGTATTCTTTGGAGGTGATACACTGTAAGAGTCAATGTCCCTATTACAGTATTCTTTGGAGGTGATACATTGTAGGCGATACATTGTAGGAGAGTCAATATCCCTATTACAGTATTCTTTGTAGGCGATACACTGTAAGAGTCAATGTCCCTATTACAGTATTCTTTGGAGGCGATACACTGTAAGAGTCAATGTCCCTATTACAGTATTCTTTGGAGGTGATACATTGTAGGCGATACATTGTAGGAGAGTCAATGTCCCTATCACTGTATTCTTTGGAGGTGATACAATGTAAGAGAGTCAATTTCCCTATTACAGTATTCTTTGGAGGTGATACATTGTAGGAGAGACAATGTCCCTATTACAGTGTTCTTTAGAGGGGATACACTGTAGGAGAGTCAATATCCCTATTACAGTATTCTTTGGAGGTGATACACTGTAAGAGTCAATGTCCCTATTACAGTATTCTTTGGAGGTGATATATTGTAGGAGAGACAATGTCCCTATTACAGTATTCTTTGGAGGGGATACACTGTAGGAGAGTCAGTGTCCCTATTACAGTATTATTTGGAGGTGATACACTGTAAGAGTCAATGTCCCTATTACAGTATTCTTTGGAGGGGATACACTGTAGGAGAGTCAGTGTCCCTATTACAATATTCTTTGGAGGTGATACACTGTAGGAGAGTCAATGTCCCTATTACTGTATTCTTTGGAGGTGATACACTGTAAGAGTCAATGTCCCTATTACAGTATTCTATGGAGGTGATACACTGTAAGAGTCAATGTCCCTATTACTGTATTCTTTGGAGGTGATACACTGTAAGAGTCAATGTCCCTATTACTGTATTCTTTGGAGGTGATACACTGTAGGAGAGTCAATGTCCCTATTACAGTATTCTTTGGAGGTGATACACTGTAAGAGTCAATGTCCCTATTACAGTATTCTTTGGAGGGGATACACTGTAGGAGAGTCAGTGTCCTTATTACAATATTCTTTGGAAGTGATACACTGTAGGAGAGTCAATGTCCCTATTACAGTATTCTTTGGAGGTGATACACTGTAGGAGAGTCAATGTCCCTATTACAATATTCTTTGGAGGTGATACACTGTAGGAGAGTCAATGTCCCTATTACAGTATTCTTTGGAGGTGATACACTATAGGTGATCGGCGTACGTAGTGTACGAGATGGTACGGAATGTAGCCGGATTGACTACAGTACATATTTACCATCTGGAGTATATTTTGTTGGTTTAGGATATGTTTACCACCTCGTCACACTATTTTCAACCTTAGTGTACATAGGATTATAGTGCAGCCGATTATAGTGACCGTGTAGTCATCGAAACGTCACACTCATATCTTCTACTGGTTGTGTTATAAGAACTTCTATTCTGTCTAACAAAATGACATGTATCAACAATTGTTTTTTGATAACAAATTTAGATATTTTTTTGATAATTCATTTCAAAAGTATATTTTACATACTAAGAAAATGCTATGACCTCAACTCCTCTTGTTAATGGCTAGAGAAAGTATCACCAGTCATATTTGAGGAATATTGACCGACTTGCTGTCATTTTTCTGATAAGTAAATCCTTCAACAAACTTAACATGCAGGTAATAATATTATCCCTAGTTTTTATATTGTAAATATCACTTTACTGATGAGTCTTTGTGACAAAGAAATCTGATCGGTAAAATAAATGACAGTATTTGAGCGCAATATCCTACACGACCCAAATACCTTTATCATAGACGATAACCCAATACTTTTCCCAATATTATCTATTTACTTGTTACATGGTACACAACCAACCGAAAACAGGGGGAGGGGGTGTTTATTGGTTTTGGATATTAATCTATTGACCTGTGGGCCTGCAAAGACGCTAGGGACTAATACACAGACAGGGAGACGTTTACATATAATGTGATCAGACTAACTATTTAGGACGAAAGGAGACTGTTCATGGGAATTATAAAAGGCCACATTCACCAATTACCAATATTTGAAAATGAAGTTTCTTAAGAGATTCGTCATAATGCTGATATTTCCTGTGATGATAGCCACAACAGTGTACGGGGTATGTTATTTAAAAGTATAATATTTATAGCGATGGAATCTGTTGATCTTCTCGTTATTCATTTTCTAATAAATTAGTTTATATTATAAAATTGTCATGTTCATTATTGCTAGGTAATAAGTTCAATATGTCCGTTATAGTAGAAAAAAACACAGGAATTACAATTGTAAAAGAATATCACATTTCATACTTTATTCAAGTTGAAAATAAAAACAAAAACAAAACAAAAAACAAAAAACAGAAAACAAAACTAAACATTAAATAAATACAAACACTCGCACACAAAACAAGATGTCTGTTTATTTGAATATATGATGAAAACTTCGTTTTCATATTAAGATTGAATTCATTTTGTCAATCTATTGATTATTTTGTCAGGATGGAGATGTTTCGTAAATAGATGATGACTATCGAGTGGTTTTTAGTTTCCTATTTGTTGGATACTTCATTTATTTAATTTCCCTCACTGTAGTTCAGAAATTTATATAAAACGGTAACACAAATAATGTCTTTTTAAATTCCAAACAGAATACATGCCGTTCGGAACCGAAATGTTCATGTGACTTTGCCAGTGAAAATGACATTAGTACAACGACGACAGAGATGTTAGCCGGAGCTGTGGGAGCGATGAGTCCTCTTCTAGCTGCAGGGGCTGGTTTAGGGATTTACAAATGCATACAGAGCTGCATGAGCTCTTCTAAACAGGGATTTGAGCGGGCACCCTCTGACCTGACCGATGACTCCTACCAGGACACTAAACAGAAGAAATTCTCACGTGGTAGGCGTAACAGTACAACCCCGCTGAGAACCGAGACTAGTGATTTGAACCTCAGTCGGAGAGGTTCGAACGCTACGACGCTATCTGTCACAGATTATGACGATTGGGAGGACGATTCAGAAAGAGGTATGTCACCAATTTCCTTCTCAGAAGTGTCTGCCAGAATAACACCTGCAGCGAAAAATGACAACATCAACGCCTGGTTGGGCTAGAAACAAATATGGCAGATTTCCCGTGATACGGACGCTAAAACAGCGGAAAAGAAGAGGAGTATATATAATATTGATAATAGAATACCTACATATTCTTCAGAATAAAAATTGATCAGAAATGCTATGAAAATGAACAGAGAAAGTTGTTTTATTCCATATATAAATCACACTTATTCGGATGAATGCTTTGTCCATTCTAACAAATTGATGATGGATGATTTCTGTCATAATGTGTTAAGTAATAAAATATAAATGATGAAGCCAATCTACATGTATTTGAAAATAATAATTTGTTATCCATCGATCACACCCAGAAAATTAAAAAAAAAGCTATTTTTATAAGATTGCAAGATGTAAAAAGAAACAAATAACATAATTTTGTATGGTACATTAAGATAATGTTCTTGTTGACATACCGTTTGTAAGAATTCATGAATAAAAATATAAACAAAACATTAGTGAATACTAACAAAGTTTGTTATTTATGTATCGCAAACTTGATTCACACATTTAAAACTTGTTGAAAACATGCTAAAGATGAAACGTGTGAGAGAAGTTTCCGTGGGTGATTTTTTGTATGTCCCGTTTTGATTCATTCAAATAGCGACGCGATCCAGTATTTAAATATGTATTAACGGTTCTCTTGAAATAATTGATGCTGCGAATCATGACATTTTCCGATCAGTGCACCTTCCCATCCCGTTCTTCTTGCGATTAATTCTGAAGAATTTGGATATTGTTTAGTCGCCTGATGAATATTAACACATATTAACACTGACAAGTCTTGGAAGGACGTAACAGCTATATGATAAAGTTTGATTCATTACCTACGCTCTATTGAATCTAACTTTGAAGTTATAATTAAGGTGGTATTCACTTGTTTCTTCTGTAGAAAGTTCCTCCGACAATTAACCTAGGTCTACAACATTTATATCTAAATACTGAGATTTGACTTCAGAAATAGGTTGTTCTTTTTACTGTTACAAACCAAAGGTCCGTTTAACTGAAAAATTCTTTGTCTCTTTCCATACATAAACAAATAAAAAAGAATCCCTTGTAGACCCTATTTATATCTAAAAGATTGTTTCCATCTTATACCGACCCCCTTGATAATTTTGGAACCCCGGTTACTTTTATCAGATCTGATTATGATGAGTGGTAATGAATTTCTAAATATTTTACAGATTACATGCTATCAAAAATGACATGTACATACATATAATTCTAAAAAGATCATACTTTCCGATATTTAAAAAAATATCTTATATATTTTCATATTCCAAATATAATACGGCTTGATGTGATTCTTATATCTCAAAATGACAGTGTGAAAACAAATGTCTAGATCAGTTACTACACTGATCTAGTAGCAGTGGATCAAAACTTATCATCGGCATCTACAGCTGGAGACAAAAACAAAACAAATATACCTGAGTTATATAGGGAAGTAAATATCGATTGGTACAAAATCGTTCGTTGTTTTAAAAACAATAGAGAACGGACAGTAAATTTATTCATTATTAAAATTGCTGTCTATTAGGTGTTTGAAAATTGATGTCTTCCTGTTCAATAGTTAGATAACGTTGCTATCGTTTTGATCATCAATACTTAATGTACGTAGCTGGAGCATCCAGCATATCCCACATGGGAAAAACCTAACTCAAGCCCAATAAAATAAACACAATGTTACACAGCACAGATCATTACGATAGTTGAACGGCATCCCATTTCCTTTTGAACACTAAATTCCTATTTACTTTATGTGAACGACTTACAAATCAGCTGGGACATTTTGTTCCTATGGTTAAGATGCTTTTTCACTAGGATTAGAGACAGGGGAGCAATTCTCACCAGGAGAGTATATTTCCACCAGTAATCCTGTATCGATTCTTCACATAATAATCGCACATGACGTCAGAGTTGGACGTTTCGTTATTTTAAAGGTCAACATGAACATAAATACATTTGAAAAAATGATAAGGACATACGCTTTTGAACATACATATATTTTTTTGTTCAATTTTGTTAATCTTTATTTTTTAATTAATATTTTTTTGCACAGCAATGTAAAAGTATAAAGTTAACGATTAACGTGTTATATGTGCTATAAAATACCGACATGTCAACAAAATCTAAATTCAAGACAATTTCGATAAAACGAAAACAAAGATGCGAACAAAAAAAAAAGATTTATACGGATACAATTAAAAAATAACTAGGATAAGAATACCAGATGTTCAGGAAGGGTAAGCGTCTTCTGCTTCATGTCTAGTATTTATTATTTAAATCTTAGCCAATACAGTAAAGTAATGTCTCGTTCCAATTTGCAAACAAGGTTAATAACTGCGGTACCACGAATGCTAACGATTGTCACTAGTTATGTATTCAAATATGTATGATATAACAACACCAAGCACTCACTGATTTTTCATTTCCTGTAAACCCTCGTTTCAAAAATTCAAATAAAATGTTTACATGCTCTTTTTAGTAAATGATAAGTTCATGCCAATATGCAATATTGTAATATGCTGTAATTATATCTATCGCCTAGTTCTTTCGGTATTTCTATCCCTTAATTCGTCTTCAAACGTGTTATTCCATCAAAATTTGTAAGTATTTAACTTAGATTTGGAAGGATTCCAATAAAAAAATCCTAACATAAACATGTATTTAATGGGTAAACACGCGATCAGATATTCATATAACCAATAAACTAAGAATACCTTAGTTATCATTGAAACAGGGTATATTTCCACTCACCACCAATTCGGAATCATTGGTTTTGGCTACACGCCAACACTAAAGCTCTAACGATTTACACTGCCTTAGGTATGTTCTTGATCTCTTTCAGTTCGCCATTATATTTTCCCATGTGGATGTGGTCCTTGGAATCATGATCAAGGTGTTCATTCGGATCGTGTTTATTACCTGTATAGGTCATGTGATTGTTTCAGCAGCTGGGGTAATTATTATTCATAAAATCATAAAGGTTCAATTACGTAATCTAGAGTTATATTGTTTCGTATTATTCTTTATATATATATATATTTCTTCTTGTTTCTTTATATAACTTAATATATGACCTCAAAAGTGCTGCATTAATTACTGTTTTGAAACTGTATATTGTGTTATATTTGACTGTCATGAAATGCTATGGTATCTATGATATAGCATTATTATTACCACTTCTTTGTTGTCACAACTTTTTCTAGAAATCTCATATGTCTTTCATACCAAATCCCATTTTATTGTTGTTTCCCTCCCTATCCATGCAACTATCATAGAAACGCTGACATTGTTAATTAATTATGTTGATTATATCAATTCAGTTTCATTTCTCCCTTCAGCATTACAAACGCTATTTCATAATTGATCCTGATAACAATTGCAAAAACAGAAAGTAAATGAGAAATGTAGCTTTCCTTAAAACTTTGCATTTGCATAAACATTTATGTTAAAATCAGCAACACAACAGATAGAATGGAAGATAGTTTGACCGACTCAATCGCAAGTTTAGCAAAATACGCGAGTAATTGATTCTTATAAACTTCTGCATAAAATAATGTGCATCTTTCCGCTTGTCTTTGCAGACATGTAACGCAGCACCGAAATGTGTTTGCGAGTTTCCGGATGGTAAAACACTTCCTATTGAACCTAACACGGCAGGAAATGAGGCTTTAGCGGGAACAGTCGGGGCGCTCAGTTCTCTTATCGCTACAGGAAGTGGATTTGGGATATGGTATATTTGTAAAAAGCGAAGTCAAGCGGCAAAATTAGGGAGGTCTTCGTTGAGTCATTCTGATCAGTCTTATGATCCCAATAATCCTCCACCATATTCGGAGTTGCCTAGGAAACGGCCTGAATCAGTTTCCACTTTGAGTCAGGAGTTCCCTCGCCAGGAATCAGTAAGAAATACGAATGTCTACAGAATCGGAAGTCGTATGTCGTCTGCTCATTATCAAGGGGCGAGGAGTGACTGGATGTAAACTGAATGAAAAGTAAATCATACAATCAAAGCAGTGTAAAGTGATGGACCATATAATATACAGTATAAAATCAGTCAGGTCTTGTTTACATGGTAAAAGAAATTAAGTCACCTCAGCCGTAACTATATACTGAATCCATCATCAACAACTGAACTTAACAACAAAATCTGACTTTCAGGAAACATCCATTCCGTTACGGCGTAGTGGGTAACACAAAGTCAATATGTGTTTTGATAAATTTATAGGAATACATCCAGCTCTAGACTTTAGATCAACAAATGTAACTCGATTGTTTCATTTACGAAAAAAATGAGTGGGGATATATCGTATTCAAATTTATGTTAACTTTACTTTAACTTAAAGCTTAATTTCTTTGTTTGGTTTCATTTTTAAATATTTCGAAAGCATTATTCAAGTGTTCCAAATAGTAGATATGTGAACATTTGTTGTTTTTTTTCTTGATTTCTCTGTCCCCATAGTTGTCTCATTACATATTGACCCTTAACAATAATTTTGTTTACATCTTGATCAATATAGACAAATGTTTCTGAAAGTTCAGTCAAGTGAAGAACAGAGATGATAGAAATGTGGTGCGTTTTCTCATCTTATAATCTTTATTTTATAAATAAAGTACTTATTTATGACACAATTTTAGCATATCAGGTTGTAGATCTTGTTTCTCTAATATGAGATAGGTAAAAAAATGTTTGTTACGTCGGTTTATGTGGTACAGAAAAAACAACAAACAAAATTCATGGAGTAATGAAAACTATCGAAATATCAGAGAAACAAGATTATATGATCTTAAATGTGAAATATTGTAAAAATCTAGACGCAAGCTACTATTGGAAATTGCTCAAGTTAAATAATATTTTCTTACATTTACATAATATCTATATATATATATATAAAGCAAAAATGCCAAGCAAAAATGAGCTTATTTGAAAAAATGTATGCTTCTAATTCCTTCACTTTCTGTTGCAGTATTACATCTGTAGTTACACATTAAAATGTACTTCTCCATATGGTACCATATATATATATGCTTCCTTTCCATGACAGAATTGTTTTTTTGTATTTGTACAAAGTTTTCACAAAAAATACCAAATTTTCTGTCCTGCTTATGAAATCTATAGCCAGTTTCATGTTTATTTATTTCTTCTGATTGTAAATTGCACTTCTTTGTCATATTAAAATTATTCACCTTCATGAACATGTCGTTTGTGTCGTAATGAAATCTATTAACAACAAAATAGAGAAAAAGGCACAATTTAGCAATTATATTTCGAGGAACCAATTTCAACTTTTTTATGACATAGATTTTCTTTTCTGGAGATCAACCGAACAATGGACAAACACATTTCTCTTACATAATGACGTAGGACGTAATGCTTTCCACATTCGTTGGTCATTTATGACGTCAGTAAATATGTTAATTTATTTTCCAGTTCAGGATTCATATTTAAAATTTGATGGCTTACTCTTCGTTAGGTGAAAAGTGAACTAGCAAATATCTTCTCAGGAAAAAATCAATATTCCATTTGATCACTGTATAGTTGTTAAATTTCGTGGGCTAATATTTGGTGGTTGTCCCAATTTCAGTTAGTTTAGTTAATCAATAATATAGTATACATGTAAATATATACAGCCATATGACATAGACTTTCTTGTTCTAATTTATGTTAAATTATCACTAGGTATTTAATTCTAAACTATAATCACGAATAAAGCGAAAATAAAACCCACTACAAATATTACCAACTATACAGTCGTTATGGACTTGGCTAGTTCTCATAAAGTTGATCACATACAGAAATAAACAAAACACATCAATCGAGTTTTATACCGTTTCATAAATTACGAGGCACATTTTCATTCTGATATGGAATTACTTGATTAAGAAATGAGAAAACTGTAAGATAAAATATATCGATTTAATTTTCGTCTCAAATTAAATCCAAAAAGACCTGAAGTTACGGTCCAAACTTCTTTGTAATACCTAAATTGTAAACATTCTTAGATTTCTAGGTCTTTTAATTTTATTAGTTATAATTTCTTTTTGTTCCTTTTCAATTTTTTTGACAATCGAAAGGACATTTTTGCTTAGTTATGAAATAATATGAATAACTAAACGTTAGGTTAACATGAAGTATTTATATTTGGAAGGAGTTTTGTTTCAGTATAGATTAGGACATTGCACCGTTGTTTTGATTACAAGGTAAGTTGAACTTTACACAGGAATAAACCAAGTAGATAATGATAATCCTACATAGAGTTGATGCTGATAAGATTTGTCTATGTAATTGAAATCAATAATGAATTCCTGTTGATATGACCAATTTGTTAGTTGTAGAACATTTTAAGTTCTTTATTCTATTCTATTCGTGACATTCGCTGTTTTCGTCGTATCTCCAGCCAAATCACTATAATTTTGGATGTTTTTAAAAATGTAATGAACTTGAACGTTACATAAATATCACCTGTAGTATACTTGTGATGTTGCGCGTGGGCAGATTTATACTGATATAGTTTTATCAACTTATTCTAGTAACAGCCTACTTGTCTTTATAGCAGCTGAATGATATAATTATATTATAGATGGTTCCCTTTTGAAAGACGTGATTATTTAATTATCTTCTTTCTGTTTAAGATTCTTTCAGTGTCTTCAAAGTTTTAGAATAATTCCTGTAGTAAACCAATTTGTAATGCAGTCTTAGATTTCTTTTTTTTCTCTGTAATAATTGAAATATTACAGGAATCAGACACACCTTTCAGCACCATGCAATTACCCAAACGTTTAAAGTACATGAAAATAATTCATTAATACAATATCGACGAAATATCAATATAGATTATGAAATCAATATGATCAAATATTGACTGTAACTTATATCTAGCCACGTACCTTTAAATGTTGATTTCTGAACTTTTCGACAAAATTGTTTTACACATTTAGTATACTAGACTTTGCGTGAGGTACTCAGGTAATTAATCATGAAGAAGATCAAAGAATTACCTTATCACAACTGTCATGTAGGGTTCCAATTTTGTTATTGATCAGCAGGTACAGACCATAAGGTGACATTCGCTAGATAAATAAGGGGTTAGTGAACACCTAGAAGCTAACTTACTCTACTGGAATTCATATATTGACAAATGTTTAATGCGTTGCCGTCATCAAAGTAATTGCCTTCACTCACAGCGATGTGTGATTTCATAATGTTTAAAATAGTCAAAACATTGAGAGTGATGATTAAAATTATCAAAATACGTTGAAGAGAAAACAAAAACTTATAGAATGTACATGTTTTTTTTTATTTAATCTGCTTTAGAAAGTGTAACGTAGAAAATCAGAGATATTATGTTCTATGAATTCAACTCTGTCCGTCCTCTGGAATTAACTTAATCTTAAGTCATGAATACGAATATAGTGAACATTCTAAACATTCTAAAGTGTAAGGTGTGGGGAAACATCTTATTACTACAATCAGAATATTCACAGTCACTTTAAGATCAATCAAATACTAGATTTTCGATTTTTCCTCAAAAAAGCTTTTTACTCGAACCTTAAATCCTACATGGTATTTCAAGTGTAGTTAACGATAAAGTGTTATTCAAAAGATATTTAAATGATTAATTAAATAAACAACAAGCATCAACGCTCAAAGTTTGTCGTTTGTGACACAACTTACTGAAAACGATTAAACAACTTGATAACATTTGAAAATGGATACCGAATAAAAGTGCTAAATAAACCACGAAAATGTTATCCACTTTAATCATTTTTTTTAATTTCCACAGAGATATCCGTTCCATGCATAAATTCAATTCGCATTTGATGATATCACCTGTAATCACAATTAAATTTAAAATATACATTAATTTCATTTAAATGTATATTGAAGGTCATATAGAGGTGAACATATTCTGTAAACGATAGTAGTGATAAAACTTTAACGCGTAAAAAAGATCAGACTACTTTAGGTAATCATTAGCCCCAGAGGAACGAAAATGTGCATAAAACGCATTTAATAATTGTGATTGTCAAATCTTAGTACGGCATATCTAAGATTAATGAGGTTTACACTATTGTACTTGTACAAACATAGATATGTACATTCTAAACAACATATATCTCGGAATGCAAAAAAACAATAACAAAAATCGAAAAAAACTACACTGTCCGTGTGTTCTTGGAACAAAACACGCAACAGAGTTTATATTACACACCACCAGTACAGATTTGTACAAACGGTTTGTACTTCGTAACAAAAATATCGTCAACGACACGTAAATTCGAGCTTCGAAAAGATTTTTGATTCAATCCAGTATACAAAAATGTCATGAAATTATATTTCAAGGAACGCAGGTCGGTAATGACCAGCTTTATAGCAACGGGACTATATAACAAAGTAATTGTTCAGAAAAAACACACATGGAAGAAATGTTTCTGGGGAGTATTGTTTTTGGGTATTACCGGACATACCTTTGACGCATTATCAAAAGTCGAGTATTTCATTTTTTTCACTTGTTAGAAATTATGGGTTGCTCATCTTAATTACTTACATGTGCTCGGTTGTGAAATAAATTCTTGATGAAAGTGTTCAACAAAAGGATAGGATATTGACCTAGAATGCAAGACGACACACAAACGGCAATATTTAAACAGGAGTGCCTTCCCCTGAAACACCACACAATTTAAACTCGGTTACACAACTCAGCTATTTGTACTGAACATATCACTAGTAAAATGTTTTAAGAAAACTATTTCTTATTGATATTTACTATATGACTGGGTCTTTACGTATCTTTGGGAAAACTGGGATGTTCACATTGTAGACACAATTTTGGTTGGATTTATGATGATCAAACGACATTATGGTAAGTAACACAAAATACAATAATACTGCCTCTAAAGTTGTGTTTTGGATTTCTTTTAGGTATCAAACTTCCTAAAACCAATATAAAACTTTTGTAATTGAAGAATTTCTTTCCGTTCCGGATAATGATTTCTCTAAGAAAATGGTAAATCTCACGAAATGCATGTTCTTTTTTTAATATTTATAATGAAGTTACAAGCATTCCTAATTGTGGAAGTCACTTATCTTCAAAACTAAAATAAACCATTCCATAAAGAAGTCGGAATATATAACATTTAGCATTCAAAGTAGATGACCTTGCCGTCCAGTGTACGATATACTAAAATATTGAAGTAATTAATATGATCCAAACATCAGGAGCTGCTGTGGTATATCAGCACATGAACGCCTAAATAATTCAATTATGTAGGGCTAAGTAGTAACGGTATAACAATGTGTTAATTGTAGACGAGCCAACGTTTCATGCAATGTTTAGGTTTAAGCTGTATTTAGTTTAAACAGAATTAATTTGTTTAATGACATTATTAATCATTTATCAAATAAGGGTGATCGCGTATAACAACTGAACACTAAATATAACAAATATTTGTTCACATTACCATATCATACTTAAAAGAATAGGCATTTTCTATTTTTGATTTTGACATGAATTTCGATAAAATTTTGATTATGCTCATTTGCCTTCTAAGTTTCAGAATTTAGGCACTTGGTATCACTGACAAGTTCTAAAAGAAATAACAGCAGTATTTTTCATTATTTCAAATTGATGTATCTAATTCTAAATTAGTATTGAAAGGTGTCATCATTGCACGTATAAAACTACGCTAAAAATGACGTTAAGTACACCCCACCAGCGATATTATAACAACTCACAAATTTACAACATGACTAGATTTTCTGATGAAATAACCTCTAGTAATTACTTCTTTGATTTTTTTTCTGTATATACCCTGCTATCCGATCATAAAGCACCAACAATTCCACAGAATTATGTTCACATAGTGAACCTCTACGTTGATATCACTACCATCTAGTAGTATCAAACCAACATTAAAAATGGTAACAAGTTAGTGAATTGTTAATGCTTAACTAATAACTCTTTCGAAGTGAGTGTCCCAACCAATCAGATTGGCGGTAACATCACAACAGATAACCAATGGAACTAACTAAAACATCACAACCATGGAAATGAGCTACAACTCTGTCATATTACACAAAAAGTTAAAAAAAAAAAAAATAGCGCAAGTTTTTATCAACTTTGTTCGTAAGAACTACATGAGGCAAAGTGAATAAATACCAAACAACCAAGGAATTTCACAATACACATACTTATATATAATCGCAGTGAATTTCTTCGTGCTCTATTCACACTCTCTTTCTCACACACTTTGTGATATTTGCTCTTTTGGTTAAACACTCCTATTTGGATTTGGTTTGATATACAAAATGGTGTTGTCATTAGTCGTTGGATTGTCTACGCCTGATTTCAGATGAACAAGAATTCTCCCTGAAATATAAAATAATGAAAATCATAAAACCGATTAAACAGCTATCTTATTATTGGTTGATATTTACGATTTGTCATACATGATAAATGATAGAATCGAAAAAGATACAGATATAGATAATTTTAAATACAGTCGAACTTCGTTATCTCGAGCTCGTATAACTCCAACATCCCGTTTAATTCAAAGCATTTCGTAGATCCCTGCCTAACTTTACAAAAAAAAAAAAAAATAATAATAATAATAATAAGAACCCACTTAAATCGAATTCTCCATTATCACGAAGTTTTCCAGTTGTCCTGCCGCGCTCAAGATAACGAGTTTCGACTGTTTTCAGAAAAATGTTTAACCAAACTTTGAGCTAAGTTGAGTGATAAAATGAAATGTATGGAATTGTATATTTGACTGTATGTATGTTATCAAACAAAACTTAGCTTCTACATATACAGTGGTAAAACATGAACTGTGATTAAATATGGCTAAACTAGTAACTAAGCATACCACGTTTTAATTCATTTGAATATTTGAATAGTGGCATGGTTAAAACATTCACATGTACTTGTTCTTTTTTTAAAAATAATCTAATATTGAAATAACTGTGTCTAGGATTTGATATCTACATTAAATACTTTTGGTCCCTGGTGTCACTGACGAGTCCTGTTTAGCTACTCTGCATCTACCTACAAAGTACTTTTCACCATTTTCTTTATTTGCTATCCGCTAGTATCAGTGAATTAATCGCAACAAGTGATTTATACAATGACGCTTCTACACCTTTTGCCAAAATACAAAGAGTACAAATTTACCTGTCCATGTGAGCTGTTTAGACATAACAAACCCCTGACAATCTGGATCGTCGTCACATATGTTCTCCGCCTCCTTCTGGTCAAAAATAGACACTGTACACCCACTTCCAGAAAGTGAAACCCGACATCTGTAGTCATACTTGCCCGGAAGATCCATTTTGGAATAGATGTGGTATCCTTTTGAGAAATCAATTACAAAATACAGTTTACAGCTGACACAATCATCGATGACTCACTCATATAACCTTGAGAGGTTTTAAACTTCAACAGCAATTTCAATGAATAGATGATAAATCGATCGTTTCCCATTTAATATCATATACGTGTATATCTCATGGGACTTCAATAATTGTACTATATATTGTATTTTACAGGTAAAAAATGCAGCGGTCCTTCAACGTATAACCAAATTCAAGTAACAAAATACAAGAGACAGTGGCATGTCTTTTTACAATGTCGTACAACAATAACGTTACGCTTGACACTACATTTGAAGAATGTCTACGATCAAGCGTCATTTCAAATTAGCCATTATCAGCAGTATCATACCGTTCTGTTAATTGTAAATAATCGCTATCAAAACTGTTATTTTAATTGTCGGAAACCAACAAAACACAACAAAGATCAAAGACTTAGTTAAAGCCTTACTTATTTAACTTCACTTACTTTAAATGTTACTTCATTTGTTATATTGTAATAAACAGACAAGACAGTCAGCAAATGCTCAGTATATTGTTGAATCCATCAAACAGAACTAATTATCTTTGATATGTTGAAAAACATAATTTATTTGAATTAGATCGTTCAACTAGAAGCAATAGTAAGCAATGGCAGTAAATACTTCAAAAAATCAAATCAAATTCATTACTTGTTTGATAGTCGCTGGAACTTGTCCGGTTAAGGTAAGCCCCTGTCTTGTATGATTGAACTATTCTATTCATCATAGCCATCAGCTGACCAGCATTGGCAGTCAAGTTTGCAAATCCGTCAATTGTTTTGTTAATTAATCCGCGGAGAGTAGGAGGAGCCCCATGTGGCAACAAGTATGTTGTAAAATGTCTTGCTCCATTAAAGAGGTTCCTTTTTTCGTTGTAACCTAGACATTTACCATGGATACATGGTAATCTGGGGAATATAAATTAACACGTTCAATTTATATAAAGATTTAATAAAACAAATACAATTTTAACACAGAAATTTCTAGATGTCGGAAACGTTTTATATACACATGGCAGAAATGACACTTAAAATGATACTGGTGGTTTATTACATAGCAAATACCAACATTTCGTTCAGCATTGAGCGAAACAGTAATGATAAAAAATATCTGAAGAGAATGCATAGAAGAAATATGATCTACTTCAATTTTACTACCTCAACAATTAAAACCACTTGCATAGATACTTGCACGTCAGTATATATGAGACACAATATTATAAAGAAATGTATCACTGGCACAAACGACAGATGCAGAGCCCGTCAACTGAGTGACAACAAAACCCACTCAACTACCAACCCTACTCCCCAGCCCCTTCAAACACATTAACCCAAAACGCACTCACTTCTTCGGCAAAAATAATATAAAAACACTTTTTAAGTACTATGGTCTTCGTAGATGTACCTTTTTGTGAAGTTTGCAGAGGAGAAATGTATAGTACAGGTCTCACTATCCGTACAAGATGGATCAGAAAAACCCGCATCATCCACATCGGAAACTTTCAGAACACCATCAACCAGGACAAACTGCTGGCGCCGGAAGTCGTTCATGGCCATACTTCCGTATTGTGTGTTGGACATAAAATGAACGATTTTGGTCAGGTCATAGGATACCTAGGAAAATAATAAAATTTTGGTCAGGTTATAGGATACCTAGGAAAATGATAATAAAAAACACTGTAACGATCATGATAACTAAGTTTGTCACCAGGCCGAGTATCAACTCGTTTTTTACTTTTAAGCTTCTTGCAATATAAACGAAGGAGATTTTTCGGTCATACCGATATGAATGCTAAAACCTAACTGTGTATTAATTACAAGAAAATGGTGGTGTTTTTTTATTGATAACTTTATACTTTCTTCATTTGTTTCATTTTCTATTTCCAATATGGAGAAGTTGCTAACATTTTTATATATGAATATGTAAGTTTACATTCAAGAAATTAAAAAAAAGAAAATGCTGGAGGTAAACGATGACTTTGGTGCGAATCACAAAACACACCTAAAATCGTGTAGTTTCATAATTTGTTTAACTGAGAGAACTTATGAACTCCGTTTTCAAATCCTTGTTTCTTCCGAATTTCATCCTGAAGATAATATGTAATAGAAGCGATACAGTAATTTCAAATGGAAATCTGCTTTTAAAAGTCTATAATCTCACGGTGTCTTTTTAAAAGATTCTTTACAGCTGTGATACGTCTTCCTTCTATCCTTGGAATAGCTAAATAAATTCTAAAGCAAACCTGTCGAATATACTTGCATGGCATTTTATAATTAATAGCACGTATGCCTTTTGTAAACACTGCTGGGAGATTTATAGAAAATTACTAATATTTAGACGTTTTGCATTTATCTCTGACAATCTGGGCCCTGTCTTCAGTCTAAACATATTGTTGATGAGGCATTACCTCTGTCCCGTTATCTTAACTTAGACTAACAGCCCCCCGGCCCACTCCTCCGAGGCAGACATACCCCGCAGCATCTGTAATCGATCAAGTCCAATAAAGGGGCGCTCCGGGGGGTAACATATTTTAAATATTAAATTTAAAAGTTTTCATAAATGAACGAAAGGTTCGAGTGGTCTTAACTGTAGACTAAGATTTCAGTTTCTTTTTTTTAAATATTTTCTAAGGGATGAGGAAATGTGAAGGAAATCTCTCATTAATAGATTTCAAAATTGAACAGAAGCTTCCAACCAAATTCTTTTTGATCCCTCATCCATAAGTTTTCACATGATTTATTTAAAATAAAAGTTTTTGTTCGACATGAAAATATAAAGAGTTTATATGGGAAAATTCACGTACAATAGCTAGTAATTACTAAGAAAGAAAAGTTTTTTTTCTGTTAAAGTTGATAAAGACAGCAGATGTATTTTCTCTCATCTAGACATGAATTATGGCACCTCAGGTCAACTTTTGTTTCATTAAAATCCAAGTACATCCCGAAATAGAGCGATCAGTCGACAAGGGCAGAGAAAAGAATCCTAGCTATGTGTCGGACGGAGATTTTTAAACATATATCTTCATTAGGAAATCATTGCTGAGAAATTGCGCATGTCGCAACATCTTCAGCAGATGGCGATAATTTGATCAAAATACATCATACCTATCTACTTACTCAAGTATTTATCATTTTTTCTTCCTTATCAACTTAAAAATATATCCAGATATATACTATTTGATAAGGCGTATCAAACAATATGCACACGCCCGCATTCGAAAATATTTTGTATGCAGTGCGTAATTCAAGTTGAACGTGTGAACATGGTTTATTTTCATTAGTTTTGACATGTAGTACATCATGCCCGATAAGGTCCGAGTTTACTAAATAGCACCTTCGTCGAAGTGCCATTCGGTGGTCGTCGTTGCAACATCTTAACCATTAGCTCTACATTTTGTCTAGATTTATGACGTAAATCCACGATAATGTTCGCCTGACTGCCAGTCGTTTATTCTCCGTGTACAGTGTTTCCTTGGCGTATCTGGTTCTGGGACTTGGTATCGTATCACTACCCTTATAATTTATGAGATATGTGCACTTTGAATGCACGGCAGGATGTACAAAGCAGATTTCTAGAATATTTATTTGTTTTTTGTACTGAAATCTATCGTAGGTTTTGTAAAATGGTTTAAAATTCTGCTAAAGTTACGTTTTATCGGATCTAGTTTCTATCTATGATCCATATTGCTTCTAATAAATTAGAAGAAAAATATTGATCATGACGTACATATTCACGAATAAATTAAACGTTCAAAAAACCTTAAGGAGTGGGGTGGTGGAGGGGAGATAGAGAAACTAAAACGTTACAGAGAGAAATACACCAAAATTCGCGCAGAAACCGTAAACATTTCCGGTGCCACATAGGGAACCGTCATAACCATCAAGCAGTAGTTATTTTTTGTTAAAGAAAACCCTATTCCATGATTTTTCATAAGTATACAACAACAACAACGGGTGTTCATCCATCATGGAGATTTTGACTAAACAAATTCATCACAAAAGCTTAAAACTGTACCTAATAATTATGTATACATGTACCATTTGAGAAATGTGCATGATGTCTTCGGTCATACATCTAAACCAAGAACATAGGATACTGATTTTGATGCATTTGTTTTGGGAATATAACTCATATTATTGAAATAGATATAAACCATTTTCCTCTAGACTAACAATGCTTTAAACTGCTGACCTGAGTAGCTATATGACCTGTTGCTTACGAGAATTGAAAATATCTAGATGATTTATGTCCCTTTATCATAAAGCAGCACATCAACATCTTTATTGTTTCCTTTAAACTAACAAGCGTAAATTTTTAATCATGATAGCGATAACCTAGTAGTCACCGTGTATGCTGGGAACATTGAACTCCGAAAAAATTCTTCCTTGTGTTTTGTCAAATCGATGGTGAACATACATCTACACCATTAATTAATATTAACAACTTTCAAATAAAATACATTCCTCAATATTTTGATTTTAAAAAAACCCAAATCAATAAGCATTGGTGTTAATCTTGAAAAAAAAATGCGATTCTCTACTAATTAAGGAATACGTGATCTTATCTTAATCTTCGTTATCCAGTTGGAATGGACACATATTGTAAGTTATCTCTTCTCATGTGATTGTACTACCGGGCACGGCATTACCAACAAGCAACGAAAAAAAATCGTATACCGAAGAAGGCCATTGTGACCCACATCTTGTTCAATTCTATGAGCCAAATATTAGATTAAAAATTCTTTGAAAATCGTGAAAGGAACAAAATATCCAGATGAATCTACAGGTGAGATATTTGATAGACATATAACACGTGTTACTGTAGATATAAATATAAACAAAATCACCTTACATAAATAAAGAAATATCCAGGCTTCTTCTCGGTTCTGTTTATTGTGATCATTGTGTGGTGACATAATCACAAATTGATATTATGATTCACATTACTCCTTGACCATCTATCTACACTGTACTACACAGGGACTTGGTACAAATTTCGACCCACACACATATAAAAATTAACCGTGAGTGGGAAGTCGTGCCCAGTCCCTGTGATCTACCATTCAGAAAACACAGGTATGCATTCTTAAAAGAGTATTGTCTAAACAGAAATTGAGAAACATTTTAAAAGTATAGAGGCTAACTATCAATTAATTTTTTTCCATAAAATGATGAAGTTAAGTATATCGAATATGAACCAATGATTGGTAACATTAACTGTACATTGATTTAACTCTAATCCATACCCACCCTGAGACGATCCTCCCAAGACATCTGCAATAGTTTGATGAGGTTGACTGTCTCCCCAAGCTCCGTAATCATGGCAACACCCTGGACATTGTTGTTTTGGTTTGGCACACAGAATCCCAGTACCTTTTGATTAACATTATGTAAAAAGTAATAATAATCATAAAAACACACACGCAATATATTCAGCGGTTAAAATGGTGAAAAGAAAATAAATTAACCGTATATTACACATATAATGTACAAAAATATATGTGTTTTATACGACGACATGTACATTAAAAGGTTTAATACATATACTTATCACAATATCTGGAATAGAATATACCGATTAAATCTGAAAAGATCAAAACTTCTTGTCCTGTATCATCTGACATTGTACAAAAGGGATTAGAAACTGTAAGTTATACCAGTAAATATTTATAATTTAGAACGAGGACAAACGTACACTGATAAGTATATATTGTGTTGCCAATGGCATAATGGTTATTGATACAAAAGAGACAAAACATCTCCCGATATACAATTCCTATCTTTTTTAAAAGTCGTTTTTACAGAAAGTAGTTGTTGTTCATAGAACTATGTTTCTGACCGAACAGGTAAACTTGCAAAGTGCTTATGAATGTTTAACAGTATGCTCAATATATACATGTATTTATCTATTAAACTGAACTGATATTAATCTCGAGGTCTCAATCACATGACTTAAGATAAACGATACAATTTATTTACATCAGGGCACTATAAATTGAAATACTTCGGAAATGACATGTGATTAGATTTTTTTTTTTTATTAAATTTGATATTTATGTTTCCTGTACCAATGCGGTCATTACAAAAGATGTAGTCTGTCGCTTTGTATCTTATGTATGAGACCATGACACTGTTGTTGTGTACAACACTCGGAACAAATAAGATACTTGTGTTTATCATATAGAGTGCTACTACAAAGATTACATCGTTCGGAACCTACCTTAATGACGTTATCGTGTGTAAGTGCCTGTAGCACTAATATTTCCTTGACTATCTTCTGTGCTGCCTTGTTATAACAGTAAGACGCTGTAAACCCACGGCTTACACATGTCGATACGTCTTGGCCTCTTACATCCACGGTCTTAATAGCTATTGATTTGCCTTTATATTTCCCACTGTATACCGCCTTGGTCCAGCCAGACGCTAAGTACTTTCTTTCAGTAATATTGACAATTTCATCACACCCTATAAAATCTTTCGATGATGGTGTGTCAAGTTGACTAGTGCCTTCCATTCGCATACCATACAAACCACTTTCTGACGACTTTTCCATCAATTTTCTCAGTCGGCGTTCGAATCCATTGTAATTTTCCAGAAAATTTAATCTCCATGCACTGTCAAGTGACATATCCTCGAAAACAGAATCAGAGTGTCTATCGTGTTTATTGTATTTAATAGTTCCCCCGGGATCCACCATGTTTTCTTCTTCCAATCCGTTGAATTTTCGATGTAGTATCACTACATTAGCGAGCAGTATAAGTCCAATAGAAAATAAACAAATCTGTTTGACATTTCCCAAATGTCGTCTGCTTCGTATTCGACAAGCCATTTTGTAAAGTTTTATCTTTTAAATTAGATGAACTGGTACAAATCAGCACAACATACCATCACACAATTATAAGCAGGAAGGATTCACAACATTCTGTTCTGTCGTGAGCTGTATAATTTTCAGCCCTTACCTGCGAGCAGACGACACAGCGCTTCGTGTGTACATCCATCACACCGCTAGCTGACCCTAGCACAAGCTTTCCTGTAGCTACGCTGTCATTTCCCCTCCTTAGTTTCTGTCGTGACACAAGGTCGAACCTGTTGACAAGCTCAGTGGAGGAGCCCTAAGACCTTTGGCCTAAAGATGGGAAGCAGTCTATCACCAATGGCATGTCATTCCGTAAGCTCTGTAACGACAAAACGAACTTAAACGAGTTCATCTCAAAACACGCAATCTTATCGCTACAACTTATGCCACTCCGTGCGGCGTTAACTCAAGTTTAGTAAATTAGATTGTTTGAAGAAATATCTCTCGTAATCTTAAGAATTTAACAATTCCATTACGTTACTTGCGATAAACAGTAAACCCGAACACGTTCTTGCCATTCGAGGTCATTCATTGATTTACACCCAAGAGGTAAATCTTCGTTTTCGCACAGCAATACTTTACTATAACACCACATGGAACCATATATCTACGTACAATGTAGAATTAGGTACAAAACACATTTAGTGCAGATGGATTCATTATGAACACGATACATTACGTGTAGTCAACAAAAACACAACATACCGAAAAAAATTTAGAAAAGCACAAGACATTGCGTAGAACACAGAACACTAATGCTCATCTTATCCATAGGTGTTTCGGAACGATCCACAAAATCGATACAGATGCGTGTGTTGTCAGTACCTTATAGCTATGTAGTCTGCTTCGAACGATCCCTGTAGGAAAACAATGTGAGATGAAAATTCCAAACAACTTCGGTGACGTGGGGCTTATATTTTAAAGCACACATCAGGTAATTTTCCGAGCTGACAGCACATCGTTACACTGTTTCCTATTAAATGGCTTCAGTTCCAAATAAAGATTTATTCAACTAGCAAACTGATGCATCTCCTGATGAACTTCGCTGATTTATAAGGTTAAAGTTATTACTTTGTTTTAAAGACAAAAACTGCATTGTTAACCAATTACGAAGATATGATATCATACGAATACCATATCATTAAGAGATATCGCCTCAATTCGAACCCAAAGCTGATGCACTTCTTTAAAGCATGTGGTCCCCGTCATGTTTACTATTAAATCCCGGAAGACAAGGAAGTAGGTAATACTATGAGAGATTTAAGATTCTATAGACAAATATGCTTACAGCATTGGTAGACACGGATGAGACATGGTGTAACTATCTATTTTTAGATCAAATTGTTTCATATTTCTGTCATTAATTTTGCTCTAGATATAATTAGCGATGACAGATGTAATTTAGAAATATATAAAGTGTCATCAGAGGACCCTGGATGGAAATTAGCATTTTGAATACATAACATATCATGGTATTGTCATTAGTTATGCAATTATTAATAACACGACAAAATATTATACATGCAAATTATACGTCCATCTTCTACCTGAGTAATTAGGACGGAGTGATTAAAATGTCCGGTATTTATTATCCACCACTTAAAACGTGGATATTTCTTTCGTATATCGCACATGTCTGTTTTGCAAATAACATCGTTTATCATGCATTCATAAATGTGAATTAAACATTTTTTTCAAGTGTACTCACAATATTCCAACATAAGATCATTAACGTTAATTATGACCATTTTATAACCAACAATAACATATCTAAAATAACACAACATCCGTAAATTCTTATTTAGATATTAAATAGTCCAAAATTTAGTGTTTTAAGATTTGTTACATAAATTTCTTTCAAGATACGCATATTCTTTGCGGAAGCATACATCATACATGTATTCATAAGCGAAAATTTTTTGCATGATATCAGTAGTGTTTTAACAAGCGTAAGTGAGATGAAATACTTTAGCACTTGGTGCTCTGTTTAAAAACTATTTAATAGCGTACATGTATGGAGGTTATCGTCGTTACACTTCAAAATGAGAAATAACACAGAGCACAACTTTACACGCGGTTATACTCCAGCACCAATATTTATGTGAAAACATTGATGACTTTGACCATTGGGTTCGATAACTTACTCATTTCCATTGTTGTAAAACAATGACTCAAAATGATCATTAACTTACCACTAAAACACTTATCCAAAATGGTCATTTGCTTACTACTAAATCACTGATACAAAATGATCATTAATTTTCCACTAAAAAACTAATACCAAATGTTCATAGACTTAACACTAAAACACTGATACAAAAGAGATAATTAACTTACCACTAAAACATTAATAGAAAATGGTCATTAGCTTATTACTAAATCACTGATACCAAATATTTGTTGTCTTACCGCTAAATCACTGATACAAAATGATCATTAACTTGCCACTAAATCACTGATATAAAATAGATCCTTAAGTAACCACTAAAACACTGATACAAAAATTATCATAAACTTACCACTAAATCACGGATACAAAATTATCATAACATTACCATTTAAACATTGATACAAAATGATCATTAACTTACCACTAAATCACAGATATAAAATAGATCCTTAAGTAACCACTAAAACACTGATACAAAATGGTCATTAACTTACCACTAAATAACGGATACAAAATGATCATTAACTTACCACTAAATCACCGATACAAAATAGATCCTTAAGTAACCACTAAAACACTGATACAATAGTTATACTAAAACTTCCTTGGACATTCGACCTAGATTGATGTGGAAACTATCATTACATTTAGACACAAGACGTAACACACAAAAAAACCTCTGTTCATGTGTCAAATCCGCCATTGTATCTCATATCTTGATAACGTTAGCTTTACATACAGTTTTTTTTAACAAAACACCCCATGATATTCAGCGGACGTAATTGTATATCACAGTAACATTCGTCAGATTGTGACCTACGGCTCCGAAAATTCCATCTCGCTGACTGTCTTCCTTATGATCATGAGATACGCACAAGATCCGTTCATATTTCCTGTTAACCACTTTACTATCTATGATTACAACACACTGTCTGTGACAAGAAACAGAAATCTGCTGACCGTGTTGATTTCATTAAGTAATAAGTAACGTCATAATTAGATAAATTTGTTATGTCATATATATCTACTGTATCAGAGAAAGATTCAACTTCATATATGACTTGTAACTTGAACCAGATATGCCGTCAAAAAGGATTATCTTCATATAAAGTATGTACAAAATGTGATGGATACAACTGAACGTAACTTAACGTCTCAATGACTGATATGTATATACGCTGATAAATGGAATTAACCATAATGTAGCCCCCATCTCCCCACCCCAACCCCTAACATCATCAAATAGTCCTAGAAGGCAGAAATAGACATTTTCTGTTGAAATCAGGTTTACACTTTAGAATCTTTGAGCCTCTTTTTATTATTCCTGGAATGAATATATCAATACCCGTGATCAGTCTAACACTACATTTGTACATAGACAAAATAAGATATACTTAGAAACAGAAAAACATACGCAAATCGCATGAAATTGATTTCAATATATTCTTTGTTTTCTGAAAGGACAAAATTTCGATGAATATATATATATATAGAGAGAGAGAGAGAGATACATAGATAGATAGATACAGTCAAGTATTTTCGAAATAAACCCATCATGAACACACACACATAAAAAACCATTACAAACCATAGCATAGAAAATCCATACAGAAAAGCACTGTAGCTCCGGCTGAAGAGGGATTATACGCTGTCGTATTACCAAAATTTCGAACCTGGACAATAGGTTCCACGATAAGAACTTAAAAAACCGTGATACAAAGCAAATGAGATTTGTTCTACACCCATATCCTTTTTACAAAGCGTAAGACTCGTGTTGTCAAATTACAACAAAGCCCATCGCCTCACTTAAAGAAAGAAATTAGCGATTTCCCGTGCGACGACAAGGATCCAACTGTGCTTTACAACACTGAAATCAGCCTCTTTACATGGAGACCGACCCGCACAACCCTCATTACTGCCAAGCTTTAGCTACAGAAGTGTCCCCAAGCACAATGGAAAACAAAAATCCAATTGGGAGAGCAAGTGTAAAAATGTCATTTACTTTTTTTGTACCAAGTGTGCTATATTTGTTAAACACTACGGCGAAACTCCTAAGTGTTGTGAATTAGGTGATTCATTTCACTGTGAACTATATGAAAGTAGGTCGGATAGATGCTTTTCCTCGTCATTATCACTGTTTGGTGACTATTATATTTGTAGAGTCAAATTTGACGAAGTAGAGAGACATCGAAGTCAGAGACAATGTGATAAACAGTGTCCATATTTATTTTCAAACCAGTCCATTTTCGGACTCGTTAAATTTTCAATATTTTGTTTAATTTACATATACATGTAATATGGAATATTCTCAAAAAATCGAGCGAAGTTTTGAAGTGAATTGTAGATGTCCGAATGAAAATGATAAATTTGTATAAATATTTCAAAATAAATCGTATACTTTTACATAAAACGTCCACCGCACGGTAACAAGAACATGTGTTAATGGACTGTATAAACATGATCGTATAAAGCACGTTTACTGTGTCAATGTTGGGTAATGAGATGCTCCAGTGAGGTGTTATATAAAACCATGCATCACCAGTGTTTTGACCAGACATTACGGATAACGAAGTGTAAATGACGGGTCCATCTTAACCGGAATCTTAAATTCTTATTAACATAAACTATATTTATTTTGCACTCCACTCGTGATAAGCACCAGACGGCAATGTTTTGTTTGGGATATCAAATTATCGACTGTACGTGTCAACTTTCCCTTACCTACACCTGTCACACTATTTACATATTCATAAGGTAAAAACGGAGGATAATCTAACCGTACGCCGATATATATATATTTTTTCATTTCGTCATAAAGGTGACTTGATTATTATGTGGAATGCTTTTATAAAATCCAAACGAGACAGACGCTTCATATTTGCACAATTGAAAAAGCTTCCGTTATGAAAAATAAAACCTTACGGAGTCGTAATAACTGGGATGGTTAAAATTTGTATAGTTAAACATCACATCGACCAGAATAAATTGACAAATTGTCATACCGAAAGTGCATGTAAATAATTCTAAAGGTTTTACACGTCTGAGGTAATTCTAGTAGACGTTTGTGCTTT